TAGAACCACCTATTCCGCCATTTGCTGCGAGAAGAAGGGCACTGGAAGGGGATATAACGCGACTTCAGGCCATCCCGAAGTCGGAACCCGACGCAACCAGATACCCTGTTGGACTCCATCCAACGCAGTTCGTAGTAAGAGCGAAAGAGATCAAGAAAAGGCTCTACCCCAATGTAGGCCTCGCAGAGATGAGCAAAGATGCTAAGAAAGGCGATAGAATTGGGGTTCAAATGGAGAAGAGAAAGACCATAGAAGTTCAAAACCAGGAGAAGAAATTCGGAAGACGGAGGGAGAAAACCGCAGAGAATATAGTCTTCGATCGCAACCATGCGACCTAAGACGAGCTGAGGATTAGTACCCCCTGCTTCCCTTTCCATGGTTCTGCGACTAGGAAGGGCGCCGTCTTCCTGAAGCTTCTTCAGCGACGCACTGGTGGAGGATGATTTGCCGAGGTCCATCACTGATCGAAGATCGCCGGAAAAAGAGCTCGGGTCGAAGAACTAGGATTTCTTATGGCAGCGAAGAAGGCGAAGAGCGCTTGCAGGAGGGACATTTTCTGCACGGTGGGCGGACTTCAAAATGGATCCCCAAAATTTCTTTAAATAGGCGCACTACCGACGGTGCGAATTCCAAGGAACAGAGAGAGATGCCCGACGGAAATTTCTAGGTCCGTTGCGCGTGGCGGTTTTTTGGACTTCAGTTTAAATTCGCTCGTGACCGTTGGGCTTCAAATGGCACTCTCGACTACGTCCTGGCTCCACGATCCTCGCACCAGGAACGACAACAGTCTCGTCGCCCGAAGTCGCGAATGGTCACACGAGCTCATTTTAAGCAGAAGTCGGGGGCTACCGTCAGGGTTACGGGTTAGGCATACCCTTTACCCTTCGATATACGTCACATATCGGTATGGTATTCCCACGCGCATACGAATATTTCCTGCGTACTCTAAGGAAATCCTTCACGGAGTCTACGGATGGGAAGAGTCCTACTCGGACAAGACTGGGTCGGACAAGACTGGGTCGTCAATATGTCGTATATGGTCTGATATCTCCGAGTTCTACTTGGAAACCCCCTGATCTCCGATATAAAAGGGACCCCCCGGAGAGGACATGGGGCATCGAATCTCAGAGCCAACACAACCCTCACAGCCTACGAAGTCGGAGCCTGCAAGGAGCCAACTCGCCGAGATCTAGTCGAACCAACTCGACCACGATCTCGTCGGATCCGTCAAGTTCCATTGTTCCCTTTATAACCTGTGTTTTCCACCATATAATCCCATATCAACTGGATTAGGGCTATTACCTATCAAGGGGCCTGAACCAGTATAATCCTCGTCTTTTGTTCGCTTGATGTCGAATTACGTAGATCCTTGTACCAACGTACCCCAATACCCTCTATATCCGGTCTACGGGTACTACCCGTCAACACGTGGCATAGATGAGGCATTGACGTGGCAATTTGATTTGGAAATTAATAAAAAGAGTGACCCCACATGTCAGCTACACCAAAAGAACAAATTAAAAAATGGTGGGGCCCACATGGGCCCCACTTGTCATTTACTCCCCTCATCTTCTTCCTCCTCTCTCCCCTTCTCCCTCTCCTCCTTCTAGGAGCCGGCGGTTCGGTGACGCTGCTGGCCGGCGGCGGCAGAGCCAGGAATGACCTCGAGGACGAGGACGCCAGGGAGCCACGTCTGGACGGGGATGCTGATGGTGAGCGCCTAGGCGTAGACGATGAGGAAGGCGAAGAGGAGGTTGGCGGCAACGCCGGCGGATACGACAAGGAGGTGGTCGGGGACGGGGTGGTTGCGTAGGAGGTCCGGGTTGTCGGGCGAGAAGCCGGAGTCCGGATCGTCGTCGGGGAAGCCGACGTACCCCCAAGCGGGATGGCACGGAGTGCGTACTCAACGTGGTCGAGGCGGAAGCGGAAGCGCGCGAGGGCCGGGCCGAAGCCGACGGAGAACATGGAGACGTGGATGCCGTGGGAGGTGGCGGCAACGAAGTGGCCCGACTTGTGGACGAGGACGATGGTGGCGAGAACGGAAGCGACCAACGGATGCTTTGTCTAGATCGACGGGAATGGCGACGAGGTCACGACGGCGGTCTTCAGCAGGGCCATCTCGTCAAATTCGGGGGCCCCGTGCAAAGTCATGGATAAAAACTTAATTGATGATATAATATAACAATAATTTATACTTCGTAATATTTCATAGCAATCTAGAATAGTCTAAAATGATAATCCAAAATTAGGGATTACCGGATTAGAAATTATTAGGAAGAATTAGGTTAGGGGCGCGGCAACCCATAGGCATCAGGCGGCGCCGCAGCAATGACGTCAGGTGGCACGACCACACGAGAGCAAGGGGAGAGAGGTGAGGCATCGTTTACTCCTCTCATTCGTTGCGGTTGGCGATTGGCGAGGTCCGCAGTGGAAGGCGATTAGAGATTGTGAAGTGGCGTGACTGTGCGAACCGACAAAGACGCAATGAAATCGAAATGACATGAAAAACAACAGATTTTGGGGACTAGTTGGGCTACCAAATTACTTATTGCATTGTATATCTAGTGTTGAAGTTTTGGGCCTAGGGAGTCCCTGAAAATTGGGGGTCCTGTATGGGCGCTCTAGCCGCACGCCCCAAGGGACGCCCTGAATCTCATTAAGGGAAAACTTCTTGTGGTCAATGTAAGACAATGCCTTAGATCCATTGACATAACATGTGGTCTTGCCATAAAAAAGAAACTCACCATTGAAATAAGATCTGACTACAAGCTTATGTACTGCATCCATCTAACAAACCCTACAACCAATTCCACTGGATCTATCAAAGATTGAATGGAATCACCTCTAACCCTAAAAATAGAAATTTCCCCAATGCTCATACCTTCTTGTTCCCTAAACAAGTAGGGAAACCTCCTTTCAGCTGCATTGGTTTTGCGCACCACCACCTGTGCCGGTGGCAAGAACCTCAGCAACCGTAGCCGCCGCCACCACCAACACCGCCGCCACCCCCGTGCACTTGCTCGTTCAGTTGTGAGGGAGAGAAGCACGAACAAGGCATGGAGAGAAAGAGAGCTTGTGGCTGGCGTGGCATCTGACGTGTCAAAAACTACAGTAAAAATAGCCCGAGGGGGTTAAGTGTCCGGTAGTGACACTTGAAGGGTGTATTATATCCGATTTCGTAGTTTGGGGGCGTATTTTGGACAAGCATAAGAGCGAGGGTGTACAATGGACTTTTCTCTACGAAAAATGTCGAGGAGTACTCGGGTATCTTCCCCTTCCCTGGCGTAAAAGAAAAAAGGAATAAGTTCATCTGAGGTCCCTTGTCAGTGAATCCGATTTTCGTCCTTCAACTAGAAAACCAGATACAACGGGTCCCTCAACTGTCAAAACCAGTGCAAATATGGTCCCTCGGCGGTTTTGATGGTGGTTTTAGCTGACGTGGCGCCTACGTGGCTAATTTGACTTGGTTTTCATCTGATGTGGTAGTGATGTGGCACTTACATGGCAATTCGATCCGAAAAAATAATAAACCCCGTGGAACCCACATATCAGTGTCACACATAAATTAATTAAAAAATGGTGGGGCCCACGTGGGTCCCATATGTCATTGTCAGCTTCTCCCTCTCTTCAACTCTCTCTCCTCTCCCATCCGGCCATCCCTCATTGGCTTCCGAGCGCGGCGAATGGCGAGGAGGGGCGGCGCGCGGCGGCCGGGCGAGGAGGGAGGCGGTGCGCGGCGGCTGGGCAAGGAGGAATGCGCCGCCTTCGTCGGCGCTCTCAACGGTGCCGTGCTTCCTGTGCCCTGTGAGCATCTCCTACCACGTGACGCCGCCGGCGCCGCTCCTCGCCGGCCGGCAACGGCGGCGCCGTCATGGCCTCGTAGCTCGTCACCACAGATACGGCCCACCGTGGAGAACTGGAAGTCCGCGTCCCCCATTGACGCCCTCCCGGGCCCCGACGACGGCGGCAGCTCCAACGCGAAGTTGCTGGAGAAGGACATCCGCGGCGGCGCCAGTAGCTGGTGGTGCGGCAGCGGCTGCTGCTGCTGCTGCTCTGGCGACGCGCGGCAGCTGGGTGAGGAGGGAGGCGGTGTGCAGCGGCCGAGCGAGGAGGAGCAACTCCGACCCGGATGTGACCATCGAGGACGTCGGCGGCGGCGGCGGGGATCTGGTCGTGCAGCCTGCCATTCGGCGCCGACCAGTTCGACCCGAGCATGGAGTGTGCCCAGAGGGGAGCCCCTTCGCTGGCGTCGTGCGCGTCACCGTCGCTGCGCCCTCCGACGTCGACGAGTACCTCTTCCGGACACGCCATGCCAGCGGTGGCGGTGGCGTCGTGTCGAGGCTCCCTTACACCAACCAGTTCAGGTTCCTCGACAAGGCCGTCATCGTGGTCGACGCCAAGAGCGAGGTCGGCGCCGACGGTCACCCCAAGTGCATCCTCCGCATCTTGCCGGTGTGGCTCACCTGCATTGTCTACTACGTCGTGTTCGCGCAGACGAACACCTACGTCATCCTTCAAGCGACGCAGTCCGACCGCCACCTCGGCATGTTCGACGACGACGACGGCTGAAGCGGAGGAGATGCTTGCGGGGCATAGGAAGCACAGTGTTGTCGAGAGCGCCGACCGGCGGCCGCACGCCGCCTCCCTCCTCGCTCGGCTACCACACGCCACCTCTCCTCGCCATTCGCTGCGCTCGGAAGCCAATGGGGATGGCCGATGGGAGAGGAGAGAGAGAGTTGAAGAGAGGGAGAAGCTGACAATGACATGTGGGTCCACTATTTTTTATTAATTTATGAGTGACACTGACATGTGGGTTCCACGGGATTTATTATTTTTCCGGATCGAATTGCCACGTAAGCGTCACGTCACTGCCACATCAGATGAAGATCAAGTTAAATTAGCCACGTAGTCCCCACGTCAGCCAAAACCACCATTAAAACTGTCGAGGGATCTTATCTGTACTGGTTGAAGGAAGGAAATCGGATTCATATTGACAAGTTAAGCGACCGCAGATGAGCTTATTCCAAGAAAAAATCTCTCCCGTCTCCGTATCCTCCGCTCCTTCGCCATCTCGCGGTCGCGGCTGAACAGGGGAGGGGGAGGGGCGCCGATCTCCATCTGGCGAGGAGAGCAGAGCAGGGGAGGGGATCCTGGTGAGCATCCACATCACATCCTCTTTCTCATTCATTCTCTCCCTACTTTTGCCTGGCATTTGCTTTGCGTTCGTTAACCCTAGATTATCTTAGATCTGGAAGAAGCTCTCTTAATTTTATAGAGACTTAACCTTAATACAAATAACAGATTGTTTGTTCCCCCAAAGTTTGGGGGTTCAACTGAAACCCCATGCCCCCCCATGTCCCAAGTTGGATCCGCCGGTGAGGGATCCAATTCCATGGCGGCTGCTCCTCCTCCTCGCCTCCTCCTCCTCGTCGTCCTCCTCCTCGTGCCAGTCTCCAACGCCATCTACTGCGAGGAGGATGATTGCTATGATCTTCTAGGGTATAGTCATCTCCTCCCTCCTACCATTTCCTCCGTTTCTTGGTTCGTTCCCCCTGCTCATGAGTCCATGCTGCCAAGCAGAGTCAAGCAGGACGCGAACGTATCGGAGATCAAGAAAGCCTACTACAAGCTCTCTCTCAAACAGTAAGCTCCTCCTTCATGGCTTTCTCGGTTCCTTGTCTCCGGTTTCTCCAAGTTCGGCCCCGATCTGAATCGTGTGTTGCGCTGTGCAGCCATCCGGATAAGAATCCTGATCCGGAGTCACGGAAGCTGTTTGTCAAGATTGCCAATGCTTACGAGGTTCTGTACGTTTTGTTATTCATGAATTAAAGTTTGCATTTCTTTCTGGCTGTGGTTGAGAACAATCTATGGTACCTAATATCTGATGCTTAATTCTAAATACTTGTTACTATTTTTCAATAGTTTCATAATTGCACCAACATAGTTGCTAATTGTACAGTTAATATTGAGCAATTCGTTGCATTAGCTAAAGTTTTGCGAAGAAAGAGTGCAGTAGAGTTTAAGCTGTGAGTCCATCTGATTTTAATGGCTTTGTGAAATGCCACACTATGGTGTTCTTTCACTAATTTAGCTAATAAATCTGTTTTGTGAGCTCATTCAACTTCCTGTCATGGATACTTCTTATTTAATTGGGCTCTTTAAATTAAATTAAATAGTTCCTTTTCCACTTTGAGGTTTGATTGATGAACCATTTACCTGGGTAACCACAACTGATATGAATTTGTATTTTTCAATATTTGCTTATTCTATGTTATGGAGAGACACCAGAGTTGAGATTATGCTGATTGTACTATTAAGATTGCACAAGGACTAGCGGTTATGAGTAATAGGAGTTTGCAGCGGAGACCAGAATTTTCAGCGGGAGAAAGATTGGGTGATTCTTAGGTTCCATCTCTCAAGAAGAGGATAGCTGCTCTGATTGTGTGCGTGAGAGAGAGGCAAAACATCTTGTTTGTTCATTGTTGATTAGATCATGCAACTATTCCCATGATAGGGTGGCACACTAGTAATCTTGGGCAACAACCTAATAGAATAATAGATCATTAAGAAATCTTATAATCAAATACCTGCCACCAGAGAACTTGCTACTGCCACTGTGTCCTGTCCTGCATGTCTTCCTAACATGAATACTTGGCCTGACCCGTGCATCTCTTGCAAAATGTTGAAGCATTCACAAATAGCCAAATAGGTTATCACGATTGCGAAGTTCAGATTATAATACTTATTTCATTGTGCAATATTCTTTAAGCTGGTATGGAATGGTAAATAGTAAGCATAGTACTGTTGACCTAACAACTGTTCAAAAAATGTTGATCTTGCATGTGAAATTAAGTTATTTGGCCCTTGCAATTGTTGTTTGGCAGCAGCTGAATTATTGTTCTACCTTTTGACCTATCAGATTCTAAAAGACGAATCAACTAGGGGGCAATATGACTATGCTATTGCACATCCAGAGGAGGTAAATCTGCATTCTCTTGTTTAATGCACTAACATTTAAAAGTCAATTGTTTGGCTTCACCATGCTATCCTGTTAACCATAAATTTATTCAAAAACATTTTTACATGAGCAAAATATGTATCATTTCAAACACCGTTAAACTCTTTTTTGTCGTTTACATAAACCATGTTTGATACAGTTTCTTCTACCATTCTTAATACTTCTAATGTGCTGATATTTGGGCTTCATAGTTCCTAAATATGAACAATCAAGTTGCATCTTTAGTGGATTTTGATATACGAGAATTTGAACGAATTTTGGACAAGGGAAGACAGATAATTTTTTTTTTCCAAATTCGCGCTGAACGAATTCGAAAGGGAAAATTGAATTAGCTTCCAAATTTCCTCATTGAGTTTGAGGAATTTTTGGAAAAGCTGATCTAATATTTATCATAATGTTAGGTTATATATATATTTATCGTAATCTTCATAAGAAAAGAACACTACCAAGGCTTATTAATCTGTTGTGTGATGAAGGCTCATTAGATGGGAGAAAAGCGATTTATATAGAACACAAGTTGTGCACATGATGTGACCATGAGGTAGAAAATTGAGCCACATAGATCATTGTTGAAACTATTTTCTATTGCCCATTAACATATTGTATAGTGTTTATTCATGTCTGCAAGGTCAAATTTGCCATATCAGACCTTCTTTGTTAATATTTTACAGTTTAAAGTCAGTTGCCACTCTTTGATGTTTGTTATTCACACCTGAGCACTACGATTAAATATGCTCTGCCTGCTATATGTTTTATTGATTTCTTCTTATTTTCAGGTTTTCTACAACACTGCTCAGTACTATAGGGCATACTATGGCCATAAAACGGTACAGCTTTTCTAACAATGAAATGTTTGAGTATGAGCGTTATATTCTCTATACTGCTTCAGCTAAATGCTCCAACTATTTGTGATAGGATCCTCGTGCTGTGTTAATTGGCCTTCTTCTAATTATTTCAGCATTTCAATACTTAAACCAGTTCGGAAGGTATAGTAAGGTATGTATTATGGAATAAATACAGCAAATTTTATAGTCAAGGGTCTCTCAGCAATTGTACACTGTCCATAATATTTCCTTCTTTCAAAGGAAAATTGCAGCTATTCTTAGTCAGGAACTGCACTTGTTACTGTTTTGCATGTTTGACCTTTGACATTCCATTTTACCCTTCTTTGTTTCTTCAAGGGTTTCAGCTTTATTTTTCTGAGACTATTTGCAATCTCACTGCTTGCAGAATTAAAGCCTTTCGTGTTCATACTTTCTTTCAGTCTAAATTATCCTCTATTAGCTTCACCTAGGTTTTGAAATCACATGATTTCTATTGCTAGCTTGACCTCATTCAGTTGTATGTGAACCAAAACTATGTAATCAAGGAAAGGAACTGATACTTGCTAGAAAATGCACTATAAGGGATTCTCTCTAACATGGATGATATTTCAAAATATTCTTTTTTTTTCTGTGCCAACCAATATTGGTTTGAAGAATTAGTATTTTTTGGACCACTGGAATCAGCAATTGTCTTTTACAGTGTTCATTAGCAGTTACAATGCTTAAGCAGCACCTCTAGATCCTGGGTTTGACTGCCCAGTCCCCACTGGAGCGAATTTTAGGCCTAGTTAGAAAAGGTCACTTGTTGGTCCCTCATAAAACACGTGTTAAGAATTGACATATCTCCGGTGGGTCCTCGTGTAGGGGGCAGGGGCCTCAAAGCATGGGTTAAGGATCAACCCATAGAGGGTGAGTCCGCGTGTTTGGGGCCAGGGTTCATGGCCTTTCTTCGCTGGTTTGGTTGGGCCTTCTTAATGAAAAACCATGGGGGCTGTCTTCCCCCGCCGGTTGCATAAAACATATGATCCTGTATACATCATGTTGTCCATTTGAACAACAGAAAGATAACTAACTAAAAGCACGCTTTAACATAAAATTACCTCTCTGTTTCATATTATAAGACGTTTTGACTTTTTTCTAACTCAAGCTTCCTTAAGTTTGACCATGTTTATAGAAAAACGTTGCGACATCTACAACACCTAATTAGTTTCATTAAATCTAGCATTAAATATTTTTCGATACTATATTTGTTTTGTGTTGAAAATGTTGCTATGTTTTTCTATAAACTTGATCAAAGTTAAAGAAGTTTGACTAAAAAAAAGTCAAAATGTCTTATGATATGAGGGCCCCATCGTTTGGACAAATACAGAAAATATGCCATATGGCGTATTAGCAAAATAATATCAATTTGTAGGTAAAACTTTTATATGCATGTTCTTAGCAACTTAAACTCCAATGCTGAAAAATAAACTTCGATGAAAGAACTTCAAAATTAAGTTTTAAAATTTAAATTTTGGCATTAGCTGATGCTGAATAGAGGAAGCGATGGGGGCCTGAAATGGAGAGTACAAGTTATGCTTTTGTTAGTAGCAGTAAAAACACTGAAAGGTTGATGCTCTTGTTGCAGGCCATAGAAACTGTGAAGCAAACTCCTGCTTACAAAAATAGGTTAAAAGCATTGGAGTTTGAGCGAACAGGAGGAATTTCAAGCAAAAAGAAGGGTCACAAGCAGATGGATAAGTATGAATGACATCAGACAAGCCTGGTTTCATTTTTAGGGGAAAAGTTGCCTTATCTGAGAATCGAAGCCTGCTTTTGTTACCTGTAACCCTCGTTTACTTCCAAATGAGATTTCGAAATTTTGATACTGTTGTATTGGCATCATGCCCTTTAGTTTCTTTGTTTTTTTTTTCAGAAATTAAATATATCTTGGTTTTAGAAGTACATAATGGGTTTTCCCTGATAATTTTCATGACACAACTCTGTCATGGTACTAAACATATCTTATAGTGACCTAATCCTTGTTTCACATGTCTAAACTTTTATCAGTTTAGGGTGACTGGATATAAATAACATGCTTCTCAAAAATTTATGTTGACCGTGTAGGAAAGTTGAAGAAGTGCTAAGTAACGAAGTTGAGTTGCAGATCCAGGGGGTTGAAAAACCTTCCTTATGGAGACTCTATGGTGTTCAGTTTATACTTCTGCCATATTCCATAGGCAAGGTTAGTTTGCTTCTTTCAATTATATGTTTTGCACCTAGTAATTAAAAGATCCACTTATAGCTAAGTCTAGCGTAATGGATCATATGTCTGGAGAAAGGGATTCGGTGCCATGTGGGAGGACCAGACAACCTTTCTCCTAGCCTAATGGAGTTGTAGTTCTACTTGTTTTGATCTGTTTTTTTCATTTCTCTGCTCTTTCTTCTTTCTCTCCCTATCATGTCCTTTTCCTTTTTTCCTCTTGGGGCTTCGTTTGGAGGCTGGTCTTTTCTTCTACCTATAATACAAAGAACTGCAGCGCTGTTTTTGAGAGAAAAAAATGTCATGTCCAGCGCAGTGGAAAACAGTTGGTACGGGAGATTAATTGTTCTGCTACTACAGATGTGGTAGCCAAGACATACCCACTTGGTGAATTGGAGTGCTTTCTTTGTGTTTGTGAATACTAAATCGGCTGTATTGACCGATTAATTGGCCGTATCACATACTAATCCGCTCCATAAAGGCCGATTCTCTTGAGGAGACCTCATGTGCTCTAGAATATTACTCTCTTCTGCTACTTTAATAACATAGAGCCAATCTTTATATTTGTGCTACATTCAAATTATGTTTTATCCTTTGTGGATATTTCTATTTCACCATTATTATTAGGGTAAAGTCCATTTTTAGCCCTCGAACTTTCACTAAAGTCCAATTTTCACCATAAAGTACAAAACTGGTTATTTTTCACCCTAAACTTTTAAGACCAGCAAATTTCGCCCTGAGACTAATTTTAATGGTGGTTTTTACAATGCCTAATGTGACAACACTATGTTATGCTATTCTAGCTGCTAATATGGCAATGAATTCACATGTCACACATTTTTCCTGTCATTTTCTCACACAAAAAAGTGATGAGAGAGTTAGATGCAAGGAGGAAAAAGGATAAAAAGCGTCTAATATGCGAGATAATGCCAAATTAGGTACCAATATAGTATAAAAATATCAATGCGGTTCTTAACAGGGCTAAATCACCATGCACCATTTAAAACAATCATGGGTATCCATTTGTAAAAGTTTAGGGTGAAAATGGACTTTCAATGAAAGTTTGAGTGCTAAACATGGACTTTACCCTTATTATTATGATGGTTCTTTGTGCTGTATACTTTTGTTCAGGCATGTTTGTGGTAATTAAGATCTCAAGTTTATCTTAGCTAATTTTATCAGCTCCATCATGCAAATAATCTAAAATACCTCTGAAATGCCTGAGACATTGGACAAAAATCTAAATATCATGATTTCAATAACATATAATAGACACAATTTAAAATATATACAAGACTAGCATCATTATGATTCACTAGCATATTGCCCATGCGTTGCATCATATGTTTAAAACAGAAAATCTCAATCTGTTTTTGCTATTACTTTCTACATATCTCTTCTCATAATTCCTGCATATACTCAGCTGAAAAGTAGGCCCTTTGGATCCATACTATTTTTTCTTTCCTTCACAAAAGATAGGGAGTTGGTGGTGGGGGTGGTCGCATATTCACCACTCACCCCCACCACCAGCATCTTTTAAAGTAGTATGTGGCGAACAACTAGTTTCCTTGTAATTTTGACTACTCGTCCATATTTCTGTCAATGGCATTCCGTTTTCTGCAACACTGGTTAAGACTACATACATGTTGTTAAAAATGGAATGGAAGCATGTTGAAATTGTTCGTTGCAGGTGCTCAGTTGGAAATTTTGTTGGTTTTGGAGATACCGGATAAAGAAATTACCATATGCATGGGAGGATGCATGCTACTTGACTCGGATGTCTCTTAAGATACCTGCTAATACATGGGAAAATATTGGTAATCACCACTTCCATTGGTTCTATCTTTGTTGTACCAGTTTGTATGTTGTTTCATTCTTCATGCTTTTCTTTTCAAACATAAGAACCTTTGTTAGATCAGATGCTTCCCCTAACCTTTTGAACTAGACACCTATTTAAGTATTCATCCATTCAAATGACAAGCAAGAAAGCATCTGGTCTTTAGAAAAACTCATAAACCATTTGTAAGGAAGTTATTTAAAATGCCAAAAACTCATATGAAGAGGCTTTGAGATCAGACATCTTCAGAACATGTGAAGGCTTTGTCTTTTATGCTGGAATAAAACAAGGTGCACACATACTGTCATGGATATTTGGCACGTAATGGTGATAAGTTACAAGCATGTCAATACAGCATTTTTTTTTTTTTTTGTAAAAAATTAACAAGTACTCCCTCCCTCCACTTTTACAAGGCATATATTGATTTTGATAAGTTGTCAAGATTGAACTTTGACCATTGATTCTCATGAAATATTTGTTAATAGCTATTAAAGCAATATTGCGTGAAATAATTTTGATATTTGAAACCTATTGGTGTAACTTTTATACACTGAACATGCCTTTTTTGGAATGAAGATAAGCCTTCTGGGAGTGAATGGCAAGAGTATATGTGGGTGCATAACTTTTGATCATGTTCAATAAGTACAATTCAAAGACAACCTGTTTCAGTATTGAAAGATTTGGTCCTCTTTCTATCTTTATCACAGGTGCTATGCATAGGGCCTGTTTGCTCCCATGAGATGGAAGCAAAGATTCACATTTTCATAGCCAAATTAATATAACTTCACCATATTTGCCCTGTGTTTTTATTTTGGAACGAATATAATTCTGTATGTGTTTTGGACATATATCAAAAAAACCTTTGTTGCTGTGTTGAATACGATGCTCATAAATGATACAAGGCTTGGAGTATCCATTCAGTGTAGTGATACTGTGTCCTGCCTCTTCCCTTTTTCCTTGAATTTATTCTCAGTTTTCAATGAGTTGCCAGAAGAGTGTCCACTGCTTAACTGCTGGAATTAGGGAGTTCCTGTTAAATACTTGAATGTATTGTGGGTCCTTTTTTGATGGGGATGGGGGTTTGTTTCTAAATGTCATTATGCCTGATGTTTTTCTGTCGTTGCTATGAGCAACTAGCCCATCAACCTACTAGTTAATACTTGAATTTGTATTGCAGTTGCAGAATGATGTAACCCTTTTTTACCTGTCTTGTCTTTCAGATGATTATAGGAAGGAGAATCTTGTCATGAAACGCCTCTGGGAAAAGAACAATATGGAGAGGTATATTGCAGAGATGAGAAAGGAATCAAAGCGTAGAAGATAGCTGTAGCATATTCAACAAGAACGTGGACCGAGAACCCCCTGGATGTCAGCAACCCAACTCCTATTTGTCAAAGCTTGTGTCACAGTACGTTGCTTTATTGCCCTTTTAGGGATTAAAACAAAGAGATTAGGAGCTAGTTTAGCAATCGTCTTCCCTTGCAGCCATCTGTCACTCCAAAACTTGGTAATTTCTCCATTTCAAACTGTAGTTTTGAAAACATCAAAAAGGGAGTTTTGATGGATAAACCAGCCCAAGGCCTTGAAGAGTCTGTTTTTTTTAACCAAAGCCATCTCATGTGCAAAGCCCACCCCATCTTTTCAAGATTAAGAATACCAAGTTCTCCCAAAGATAGGGGCCGACACACTCGGTCCCAACAAACCAAGCAGTTCCCATGGGTTCCATGTACAATACAAATTAACTACGTAATTAATTGAGACAATACAAATTAATTATTTATGTTCATCCATGGGTTCCATGTACATATAGGATTAATCATGTGGTTACTGTAATTTTGATTGATTAGAACTGATCAGATGAGACCGATATACTTATTCAAAGGTAAAATCTAAACCGAGACTGCTCTCGATTTAGCCTTAACGAGAGACATCCATATACCACTCTCGATTTAGCCTTAACTAGAGCACAACTAGTACACCCAATAGTCCATATCATTTTTGTTCTTCTTATAGAATTTTCTCTTAAACTATTTATCCGATCTACAATCCGATTACACCATGGTATTCGTTGCAATTAAATCTTTATAACAAGATCTTATATGATTATATTATGATGAAAAAAATATTTATGTTGTAAATTACTTTTATTATATATATAAGTTACTTTTATCATATATATAAATTACTTTTATATTTGATTAGATTACTTTTTAGATATTCAGTGAACAATTTACTTTGTTGGTTAGCTCTATAATATGTTTATTAAATATAATTTCTAGATAGATGTATGTTTTTACCCCACAATAGATTTACTCTTATTGTCGTGACAAGTTACATTCTTTTTCTTTTAAGTTACTTCTATAATATATGTAACTTACTTTTAGGTTTTATTGAATTTACTTTTATATGTCTAAGAGGTAATTTAATGAAATTTAAAAGTAATTTAGATATATTATAAAAGTAATTTATTATTTTTTATTAAAATATAATCATGTGTGATCTTGTTATAAAGATTTAATTGTTACGAATATAATGGTGTAATCGGATCGTAAATTGAATAAGTAAATCAAAAGAAAATTCTATAAGAAGAAAAAAAGAGAAGCACTATTAGATGTACTAATAGCAACCGAACCTGAGAGTGAGGTAGCTGCCTAGCTGGTTAGGACAATCTAGCTACCGTCTCGTCGTTGTAGCCACGTCCTTATTCAAAGGGGTCGCATAAACTATTAAATATGCAGCCTCGAATAGTCTAATCTCCTGACCAAAGAACCATAAGACTAAAAACATCAAAACCTATGGGACTCTATCAAATTAGACTCAACTGCTATTGATTTGGTAACATGTCAAATTAGATTTGATTTTAGGGATTTGGGATTCTGAAAGTGTTAACATGATTTGGATTTAGTATTTAGTATTTTCTGTTGCAACACACGGTCACTTTTTCTAGCTAAATGTAGTCAATAAAAAATGTAATTATTTATTTGTCATGACATAGAATTTACATTTAGACTAAAAGTAAATAATTTTAATTATTTTTTATTCTATATGGTCTCTATTCTTCTTCCAATATTCTTTTTGGAATTCTGATTTTTCACTAATGTATTTCTATATGGACTCTAAACTCTTCTTTCAATATTTTTTATTTCAAATTTCAATTCTTTTTCTATATTGTGTTACTATATATGCACTCTAGCCGGTTTTGGAGAATATTCTAGACTCCTAATCAAATATTATTTATTTTATAATCTATAATTTATGTTGTTTATAGATTTTATTTTATATGTACTCTAAACTCATCTTTTAATATTCTTTATTTTATTCATTCCAAATTTTATTTCTTTTCCTAAATTGTATTCAACAAAAAGTTTAAAAAATAGGAATACTTTGTATTGTATTATCTATATAGACAGATTAATCTATCCAATTTAGTTAATTTTTTCGTTGCAAAAGATTTGTTTTATGCAGGTATCCAATTGGACAATACACATATATAACGTGATGTTTTTTTTTAAAAAAAAAAGAAAATGAAAGAGGTGTCCGATTGGACAATACACATATATAACATGATCTTTTTTAAAAAAAAATAAAAGAAAATGAAAGAGTCCTAGTCTACAATGAGTTCTCTTTTTTTTTTATTTTACTCTAATTAGTATGAGAATTTCTACACCATGAGATCTAACGTGAATGTTGCTTTCTCTATTATTTTACTAAGTTAATAGATAGATCATTATCATAATATTAGTTTTTTCCGTTGCAACGCACGGGCATCTATGCTAGTCAAGTTAAAATCTCCTACCACAAGCCAAGGCCCAGCACAGTGAGCGGTAAGGCCCAGCACAGAGAGCACAAATATCTCTTAATTCTTGTAAAAAGAGCACTTTCTCATCATCCTCCTGAGGGCCATAAACTCCTGTTAGCAGCCAATTGCGACCCTCAAGTTCACTGAAATGGACTGACGGGGAGAAAGAATCCACACGGGACAAAATAACTTGGCAAACAGAACTTTTCCACGTGAGCAGGATACCCCCACAAGTGCCAACAGCAGGAAGAGTCACAAAATTATATCCGCATTGGAAGAAAGAACATCACGAACTGAATTGTGCATGTCCGGACTATTGAGCCCGTGTGCATTCCACACCAAAATATTAGAAGGATCTGACATAGAGAAACTTTAGAGGAGACCACTGGACCAAAACGAACAGATCAAGCAACACAAACCAGGCTTGAGGGATGGACTTGATCCTCATTTGTTTTCCAACCAAAAATGGCTGCCAAAGCCGCTAAATGGGCATAAGAAAGAGGATTGTGAAACAATTTAGAGTACCTTTCCTTAGCTTCTTGACTAATTCCTTTATCCTTCGCAGAGAACCCCAAGCAACACATCACTTTCTTCTGAGCCACTGTTGCCACTGGCCCGGGAGAGCAGGGGGCAATTCCCCCAACTCTCCTGCCACGCCAAGGGGCTGAAGAGATAGGTGGGCGGCATTTTCTCTCCCGCCACAGAGGGAGGGGCAAAATGCTGTCCACCGGCTTGTGCAGGTTGATGATGAAGGGATGCCGACCATCATCTCCCGGAGCGCTGCTGAAGGCGGGAGGCAAAAAAGGGATCTCCATGAACTTCTTCATGAGCTTGTAGCATCCATTCTTCTTCTTGGATTACTTGTCTCCATCATCATCCTTTGAAAGACACTTGGAAACAAAGTGCCCCTTTTCACCACACTCAAAGCATCTCAAGTTGGAGAGAGTCTTGTTGGGTCTCCTATTTCTTCTTGTACTGGAGTTAGAGCCCTTTCCTCTCTCCTTTCTTCTTCCCAATAGATCATTGAACCTTCTATCAAGAAGGGCAATCTCTTCTTCCAAGTTATCATTTGCTTCATTCACCTTGCTCTTGCTCTTATCTTCCACTTCGGCTTGGAGAGCAACGCACTTCTTGGATGGAGATGCTTCCTCCATCTCCTTCTTCTTCAACTTGTACATATCATTAGTGTTGATCTTCCCCAAGAGGCTTGTGGGGGTCATTCTAGACATGTCGGAGTTGATAAGTATGGTGACTAGGGTCTCATGCTTGTCTGGTAGAGCCCTAAGTATCTTTTGGGCAACCTCAAGATCAGTGTAGGTTGCCCCAAGCCCTTTGAGATCATTTATAATGATATTGAGCCTCCCATACATATCATTCACACTTTCATGAGGCAACATGGAGAATGTCTCATATTGGATCTTGAGGAAATGAAGCTTGGCATCCTTATATTCACTTGTGCCCTCATGAATCTCCACCAACTTGTTCCAAATCTCATATGCCGTCTCAAGGTTGCTCATTCTATCGAACTCTTCTTGACTTAAAGAGTTGAACAATGCATTCATAGCTTGAGCATTGAGTTGGAGGTTGCGGTGATCAATCTCCGTCAGGGATGAGCCGGTGATAGCAAAGCTTACATCCACAATACTCAAAATATGGAAGCTCATAGCCTTAAGGTGAGTAGACATTTTAATTTTCTAAGTGGAGTAATTTGTGCCATTAAACATGGGAGCCTTCCCTACATGGTTCACCTCGTTCGATATCTTCTCTCTAGGTGGTAAAGCCCAATCAAGAGAGACCAAGCTCTAAATCTCAGAGATGAGGATCCAGTGAGAAAGTGTTACAAGTGTGGCAAAGGGGGACACCACCAGGCTAATTGTCCCAATCCATCTCTCTGTTTCACTTGTAAGAAATTTGGTCATATATTGTCAAATTGTCCAGATCTGATGAAACTCTGTGGTTACAGGATGCCGGGTCAGGTATTTCATTGCCTTCAGGTATTTCATTGCCTTCATCTGGATGTGCATGAAGAGGAGTTAGCAAAAAAAACCATTTGTTGGGTTGCTGACAGTTGAAAGTGGATTTTGCTCTGAAGCAAAGATTGTGAGGGAAATGAGGTACCTCTTTGAGAAATATCAAACATGGGATTGGAAAATAAAGCAAGTGGAGCAAAAGAAATTTATGTTGGAATTTCCAAACAAAGATACTCGAAGGGAGCTCACTAGGTTGAAGGGCTTTGATTTTCAAGAATCAAATATTCGAGCGAATCTGAGAGACACAGAGAGGACTATTGAAGCTTCTGTTGAGCTGCAAGAGGTGTGGGTGATAGCTTATGGAGTTCCTCCGATGGCTAAGACAGAAAGTATTATGAAGAAGATAGCTTACCTAATTGGAGATACGTTGGAAGTGGATGCAATCAGTTTAAACAGCGAGGTTGTCAGAATTAAAGTCTGGTGTAGAGACCCAACAAAAATTGGTGGCACTTCAGAGATATTCCTGAATAGAGTGGGTTACAAAATCACTTCGAACCCTGAAGGCATTTAGGCTGTGTCACTGGATGATCCAAAAGACAATTGTAGAAAGGACAGAAGAAGGGGAAGGGACAAAGAGTTAGATGACTCCTAGGACAGTGATGATGGGAAAGACAATAACACTAAAGAAACTCCCAAAAGGAATATACAAAGCAAGGGAGACAGCAGCAACTTCAAGCACAACAAAGTGAAAGAAATGGAGGGTGAGGAAAAAGATGAATTAGAGGGGGGGAAGATAAAGTGGACATACCTGAGTTTGATTGTGAACAATCAGATGAGGTGGAGGAACAAATCAACTTGGTGGATAAGCAACTAATTATTGGAACTCAAGTCAATGAAGGAGGAGAGGCTATGCCAGACGCACAGTTGAAAGGTGAAGAGGTGAAACCTAAGGTCCTAGAGGGAAATGAGGAAAAGAAGAATGAGAATATGATATCTTTGGTGGCTGATGTTGGCCTCGAGGATGAGGGGTTGAGTAACTGGGAGCATCGAGTCTCCTTGCAGACTTAGATGGATATTGACCTTAAGCAGCTGGAGGTGATTACTGGAGAAGAGATAGACACACCAGACCTTGATGAATGTTTCATACCTTCAGGAAGGAAGAAGAAAAGCAGGAAACTGGAAGAGGTAGTGATTCCCAAGAGGCATAGCAAGAGGATCATTAGAGATGCGGTGTCGATATCTATGAAGGCTCAGAAGAGGACACAGGCGAAGAATGATATCTCAGATAAAAATAAATTTGCAATCTTTAATTTTGTTGATAATTCTATTCTTGCAAATATTGCTGTAGATTCTGGTGTTATGCTAGGTCAAAATGATTCTAAAATTTTAGATAACATTGAGACACTGAAAGCTAAAGAGTTAGCCCAATCATTGATCTGTTTAGCTAAGGAGAGGTTGACTAAGTAGGATCCCGTTGAGAGGTTGCCTGAAGAGATTGAGATTGAGGGATGTCTTGCCCTCCTTGTTTGGGTAGAGGAAGACTTTGAGCCAAAGAGTCGTGCAGTTCCCACTCCTCATATTTCCTGATGAGAGTTTTATTTTGGATGTGAAAGGTTTGGGAAATCAAGAGAGAAGGAGGCAATTAGAAGAGGTGATTTATCAAAACAAAATAGAGATTGTGGGAGGACAAGAAACAATTAGAGAAAATTTCACTATGTATGAGTTAGAAACATTGTGTGGCGGCATGGATTTCCAATGGTTGACAAAACCTGCTGATGGCCACTCAGGTGGTCTGCTTCTAGGGGTCAACTTGGAGATTTTTGAAGCAGGAGAAATGGATGTTGGAGAGTTTTTTCTAAGTATGGAACTGAAAATAAGAAGGGATTAGAAGAGATGGGTGGTGATTAATGTTTATGGACCAGTGCAAGGAGATAATAAGGAAAGATTTTTGTTGGAACTTGAAAAAAAGATTGCTGATCAAAGTCATCATGTCTTGCTGGGTGGGGATTTTAATATGATAAGATGTGCTAAGGAAACAGTGGTCAGGTCAATAGAAGATGGATGGAGAGATTCAATGACTATCACAAACCAGGAACTTAGAGAGGTGCATAGACTGGGAAGTAAATACACCTGGACAAACATACAAAAAAAACCTTGTGAGAGAGGTCCTGGACAGAATTCTTGTATGTGATAACTGGGAGAATCTCTACCCCCTCACTTTAGTCAGGAGTTTGTTGAGAGTTGGCTTGGACCATAATCCTATTATGGTTGAACTCACTAACCAGTTGGGGGCAGGGACAAGGAAGGGCTTTAGGTTTGAGAAAGCCTGGTTAGAGCAGCCAGGTTTTAGAGAGTGGCTGATTAAAAAATGGCCTGTGAGGAAGAAACACAAGATACTAGACCATTGGAGTTGTCAAGGAACCATTTTGAGAAGATTGATGAGAGGTTGGGGTAAAAACCATGAATCTGACATCAAGACTAGGAAAGAGAGTTTGAAGCTAAAGTTAAAAGAGATAGACGAAGAAGCTGGTAGAGGACCAATATCTACTGATTTATGGGAACAGAGGTACAAGTTGGAAGAGGAGCTCACTCAAATCTATTTAGAGGAGGAAATTTACTGGCAAAGGAGAAGTGGAGAAAAATGGATGATACAGGGGGATGCTAATACCTCCTTCTTTCATGGTGTTGCAAATGGGAGAAAAAGAAAGACTACTATACTGTCACTAGAAAAAGATGAACAGGAAATCAGTGATCCAGGGGAACTTAAAGCTCACATTTATGAATACTATAAAAACTTGTTTGGATCTGAACAACCACCGAGAGTTTTTTTGAAGGAAGGGATTTGGGGAGATAGGGGGAGAATTAATGAGGAAGAGAATGAGAGGTTAACTGCACCTTTCTCTTTGGAAGAAATTGAGAATGCAATGAAGGAAATGAAAGTTAACACAGTCCCAGGGCCGGATGGTTTGTCAGTTTGTTTTTTGAAAGAATTTTGGGATAAGCTCAAATTTTAGTTCAAGGAGATGTTAGATGCCCTCTTTATGGGGGAGTTGGAGCTTTGGAGATTGAACTATGGACTGATTAGTCTCATACCAAAAATAAAGGATGCAAATGTTATCAAACAGTTTAGGCCGATATGTTTGCTAAATGTCTCTTTCAAACTAATTACTAAAATCTTGGCAAAGAGATTAACTAGAGTAGCTGAATTGCTCATTAGAGATAGTCAAATAGCCTTTGTTCTAGGAAGGTTTATTCTAGATGGGGTTGTAGTTCTCCATGAGGTGATTCATGACATAAGTTCAAAAAACAAGTAGGGGATAATTCTAAAGTTGGACTTCAAAAAAGCATATGACAAAGTGCAATGGTCTTTTCTTTTCGATGTAATGAGGAAAAAAGGCCTAAATGAAAGGTGGATTGACTGGATTGGGAAAGCTATCACAAATGGGAGAGTGGCAATTAACATTAATGGTGAGGTTGGAGAGTTTTTCAAGACTCAGAAAGGGCTTAGGCAAGGAGACCCGCTATCCCCTCTTTTGTTCAATTTGGTTGCTGATGCCTTATCGGAATTGTTAACTTTGGCCAAAGAAGCTGGTCATCTCGAGGGTTTGGTTCCTGAGCTGATCCTAGGGGGCTCACTCACCTTCAATATTCGGACGATACAATTCTCTTCATGACCTACACTAGAGAAAACATCCTTACGACAAAGTTTTTGCTATATTGTTACGAAGCCATGTCCGGAATGAAGATAAACTATGAAAAAAGTGAGGTGATTGTGATGGGGGTAGATGATGAGGAAGCTCAAAGGGTGGCTGATTTATTTAACTGTAAAAAGGGCAAAATTGCTCATTAGAGATAGTCAAATAGCCTTTGTTCCAGGAAGGTTTATTCTAGATGGGGTTGTAGTTCTCCATGAGGTGATTCATGACATAAGTTCAAAAAACAAGCAGGGGATAATTCTGAATTGGACTACAAAAAAGCATATGACAAAGTGCAATGGTCTTTTCTTTTCGATGTAATGAGGAAAAAAGGCCTAAATGAGAGGTGGATTGACTGGATTGGGAAAGCTATCACAAATGGGAGAGTGGCAGTTAACATTAATGGTGAGGTTGGAGAGTTTTTCAAGACTCAGAAAGGGCTCAGGCAAGGAGACCCACTATCCCCTCTTTTGTTCAATTTGGTTGCTGATGCCTTATCGGAATTGTTAACTTTGGCCAAAGAAGCTGGTCATCTCGAGGGTTTGGTTCCTGAGCTGATCCTGGGGGGGGGGGCTCACTCACCTTCAATATGCAGATGATACAATTCTCTTCATGACCTACACTAGAGAAAACATCCTTACGACAAAGTTTTTGCTATATTGTTACAAAGCCATGTCCGGAATGAAGATAAACTATGAAAAAAGCGAGGTGATTGTGATGGGGGTAAATGATGAGGAAGCTCACTGTAAAAAGGGCAAAATTGCTCATTAGAGATAGTCAAATAGCCTTTGTTCCAGGAAGGTTTATTCTAGATGGGGTTGTAGTTCTCCATGAGGTGATTCATGACATAAGTTCAAAAAACAAGCAGGGGATAATTCTGAAGTTGGACTTCAAAAAAGCATATGACAAAGTGCAATGGTCTTTTCTTTTCGATGTAATCTGGAAAAATGGCCTAAATGAGAGGTGGATTGACCGGATTGGGAAAGCTATCACAAACGGGAGAGTGGCAGTTAACATTAATGGTGAGGTTGGAGAGTTTTTCAAGACTCAGAAAGGGCTCAGGCAAGGAGACCCGCTATCCCCTCTTTTGTTCAATTTGGTTGCTGATTGTCACACCCTAAAAATCCTAAAAATATAAATTGTTGTTTAAATGGAATTATTAGAATTTATTTTTTAAAAGCCTGGAAGAGAAGATCTAATTTTAATTAATAAATTCCAATATAAAATGGGGCCAGATAAAATTTCATTAAATACTCTGCTTAATTCTATAATTCCTAGATTTTTCTGGGATTTATTTGAGCTAAGGAAGTATTTTTAATAAATGAAATTGCATTTCACGAATAATTTAAATTGAAAAATGTTTTTAAAAGTCTCTTTTGCCTTTGGGCCGAAAGTCAGCCCAAAACCCTCTGTCTCTCTCCCCGGCCCAAGTCGGCCCAGTCCGCAGCCGCCGCGCGCGCGCCAGGCCGCTGACAGGTGGGTCCCACCTGTCGGACCCGTCGTCTACCTCCGGCCGCCGCCGCCCGAAACCCTAGCGCTGCGCGCCACCGTTTCCTTCCAAATCCGGCCGCTCCTTTCCCGATCCGATGAAATCGATTGAGGGGAAACAATCTTCGGGATCTCCTCTACCTTTTCTCTTTTCGAATTGTCGGCTAAAATCGTTTGGAAAGTGTTTGATTCGAGGTCGATTCGGATCGATCTCTCTCCTCCGAACTCTAAACTTTCCTTCTCGCCGCCGGTCGCCATGGGCCTTCGCCGTCGCCTCCTTGCCCCTATAAAAGGATCCCCGGTGTCTCCTCTACCCGCCGCCACCTTTGCCTTCGTCTCTCGCCGTCGGAAGCGCCCTAGCGCCGTGTGACCTCGAGCCGCCGTCGTTGCCGTCGCTCCAGCCGTGCGCCGCCGCCGTTCCGGTCGTCGTCGTCGCTCGGGGAGGTCGTCATCGTGGTCGCCAAGTCACCGCCGTCCTCGTCCGCCCCTTTGCCGTCGCTGAAGACCGCCGGAGCACCGTCACCGTCGTCAAGCCGAAGAGTGCCGCCGCCTTTTTCCTCGCGCCGCCGCCGTCCGTTGATCTTCCGCCGCCGTTTTGGTCACCGGTGAGTTCGCCGCGTCGTCCTCTACGTGCTGGTGCCTTCCGTTCGCGTCGCCGCGCCGTCGTTCGCCGGCAAGCATGCGCGCCCGAGTCGCCCGAGCCGCCGCCGGCGATGACGTCACCGCTGACGTAATCGTGGCCGTCTACCATGAGCCGGTCATGGACCGTTCGATCTCGGCCGTCCGTTTTGGATGGATCGATCTCGGCCGTTCGTTCCCGTGAACCGCTGCCGTGCGCCCGGTCTACCGCAAACCCTAGCCGCTGACGCAATAAATCCCTTTTTCCTTTTCAAAAATAATTCATTATTGCGTCATAATTCAATTAAAATCCATATAAGTGTTTTAATCCGATTTAATCTTCAAAAATTCATAACTAATTCATCTTAGCTCGGATTTAGTTGGTTCAAGTCTCTAAATTTTTCTAAAATTGAGATCTACATGTTAAAAATATCCACATGTACTGTTCATGCTTGTTTATGTGTTGTTTTAGTGATTTTGCTCTTTTCTGCTTAGATTCCGACGTTTCCGGAGAGTCCGTTTTCGCAGGAGAAGAGTTTGAAGAGTTCCAAGGCCAGCAAGGCAAGTCACACAGATCCCAAACAACCCTTTGAGCATGTTGATCCCGTTTAAAGCTATTGTTTCTATTCAACTATTGCATTTATTTTCGAATGTCATTGGGTGGAATTAACCTATTGTTTGTTATAGCCCTTTTGTTCTTGATTACTTTATTCCTTGATACCTTGGGTTATTATAACTTGACTAGTTGAGCTTTATATATATTGGTTCAGCTAGATATTAGATGTGATTGCTTAGCCATGCTTAGAAACATTAGCACATTATTGGGATAACTTATGACTGACTATTATTTAATGATGGCTTAATGATAGTTCACGATGGTCAATCGTGATTGGTTAATTAATTACTTGCCAACTAAAACTTGATAATGGTGGGTTGTGAGCACATGGTTTTGAGAGTCGTGCTCATGACAATTAAGGACCGGTTCACGAGTTTCGGTTGTGAAACATTAATCGTGCCAACCACAAGCCAGCGTGGGCAACGGCTTTACCTTTTGTATAGCATGGTTTATTGCGGGGCACCAGACTGAGAAGTGGCGGAGATAAGCCCACGGGGGTCGCTGGGGAGTCCATGCCTTGTTTATAAGGGGGTGATTATGATCCAGGAATGGTGCGCTGTGGTGGATTGTGTTGTGCGAGGGGTACTGTCACAGCTCCTTTCCAAGGTACCGTGGTGGTATTGAGGCACATGGTGACATGATGTGGGGCTGTGTCTTGTGGGTACAGTGGTACACCTCTGATCAGAGTAAAACTATTCGAATAGCCGTGCCCGCGGTTATGGGCGGGTCTAACAATGTCTTTCGTGATTAGTTTCACACCTCTCATCATAATAACAGATGCTATAATTGGTAATAATTTGATTAGCTCCTGGTTTGGAATGGTATATTCCTGGTTTGGAGATAGAACTGTGCAGCCGGGATGGTTGTTCAGAATGGTTGGGCCTATGCAACAGGGTATGTTGTATAGCGTAGGATTAATACTGTTTAATTAATACTTAACTGTTTTATTAAATTCTGAAATGTTTATTAAATGCTGTTTATGCAAATGAAACCCTACTATGCCATCCTTTGTTATCCTGTGCACTTGCATATTTGCTGCGTGGCTTGCTGAGTATGTCATATACTCACCTTGCAATCATTCATCAGAGGAAGAGTTCTACAGTGAAACTGATGGTGTGGAGGATTAGGTGTAGCCCTGGTCAAGCTGCCTGTGGAGTGGAGTCGTCTGCGCCGTTTATCTTATTTTCCGCTGCTTAGATCTTTATTGATTGAGAGGAACTATCTACCTCTGTAATGACATTTTATTCGCTTATTAAGTAGAGTAATAATTGTACTCTATTATCAATTTGTTATTGTGTGCCTCGGTTGATTCCTGGACGAGGGTTCACACACATGTAAGCGTTTGGAATTTTGGATAGAAATTCCGGGCGTGACACTGATGCCTTATCGGAATTGTTAACTTTGGCCAAAGAAGCTGGTCATCTTGAGGGTTTGGTTCCTGAGCTGATCCTGGGGGGGCTCACTTACCTTCAATATGCGGACGATACAATTCTCTTCATGACCTACACTAGAGAAAACATCCTTACGACAAAGTTTTTGCTATATTGTTACGAAGCCATGTCCGGAATGAAGATAAACTATGAAAAAAGCAAGGTGATTGTGATGGGGGTAGATGATGACGAAGCTCAAAGGGTGGCTGATTTATTTAACTGTAAAAAGGGAAATTTTCCATTGAAATACTTAGGGATTCCCATCAGTGATGAGAGGTTGACAGTGGCTGATTTTGCTATTTCTCCAAACAAACTGGAAAAGAGGTTGGCTACGTGGAAGTGTGGACATCTCTCATATAGGGGAAAAGCGATCTTAGTCAATTCATCCTTGAGTAGCATTCCTATGTACATGATGGGCTTTTACCTATTGCCAGAAACCACACATCACAAAATGGACTCGATTAGAGCTAGATTTTTTTGGAAAGGCTTGGAGTAGAAGAGGAAGTATCATATGATAAGATGGGAGGCCTTATGTAGACCTAAGGAATTTAGGGGCATGGGTTTTATCAATACTAGAGTCATGAATGCAGCCCTGCTGTGTAAATGGATTTTCAGAATAGAATCAGGACAAGAGGATTTGTGCTGTTCCTTGTTAAGGAGGAAATATTGCATTAATAGAGGTTGTTTCTTCCAATCGAGAGAGGGAGAGGGTTTGCAATTCTGGAAAGGTTTGCATGTTGTGAAGAGGTGGATGAGTAGAGGTAGCTACTATGAACTGGGTAATGGAGAGGCTATTCGATTCTGGGAGGATGTTTGGAAAGGAGAGATACCTTTAAAAACTCAATTCCCAAATATATATAAGATGTGCAGGGATCAAAACGTTTCAGTGCAACAGGTGTACAATGAGGGGGTTTGGAGGCTAGAGCTAAGAAGATCTCTTTCAGAAGAAGCATTAGAATGGGAGGAATTGCAGCCTTGCAGGTGCTACTTCAAGAGGTGCAAGTTGACATGTCTAAGAGGGATACAATGAGATGGAAGCTCACCAAGTCAGGCAACTTTTCTGTCAAATCGTTGTATAGAGAGATAATCTTTGGAGGAGTAACAGACAAGAGGATGGTAGAATTATGGAAAACCCCAATTCCACTGAAAATCAAAATTTTTATGTGGTTGATGGTTAAAGGGAAAATTCAGGCTGCCAAGCAGCTTAAGAAGATGAACTAGCTTGGTAGTCAAGACTGTAAACTTTGTGGAGAATCAGAAGACGTTGATCATGTGATGTTTCGATGTGCCCCTGCTAGATTCATTTGGTGTTGTTTGAGAGATATCTTGGATTCGGAGTCTATCCCTCGTAACAGGAAAGAGTTGTTCAGGAAATTAAAGGATCCTGGTCTAAAAAGCACCCTAGTCATTCTGTGTCTTTTTGCTGCAGCTTGCTGGGCTATCTAGCTTACCAGAAATGATGTAGTTTTTAGAGATAAGTTTATTGTGAATGTTAATCAAATTGCTCATAAGATGCTGACCTCGAAGGTGGCTTATTTGAAGGACTCGCTACTTGCCAGAATCAGAAGCGTGGAAGGAGAGGAGGACGCAAGATGAAGGCGGGTTAATGGCCGAGGTGAAGCTTAGGAAGTTGGGAATCTTTTTGTTCTTTAGTGCGTGGACATGATGCTAGTCTGTTCCTGTTACGATACCCTGTTCTGTTATTTCAAGCTGGCATCCCCAGCTCTTTTATGCCTGTTGTTTTCCTTTTCTCGTCTTGTAAGAACCTTTGTTATGCTTTATTAGTAAAGCTGGGTGCTCTGCCTTTGATCTAAAACTCTGTAAGGTATCGGTGTACTCACATGTGGCAGTAGCTGCTGCATGAGACCATTTGGTTTCCCGCTAATCATCTCGAGGAGAATCACTCCGAAGCTGTAGACATCTGACTCGGGTTCTACCCTCCCCAACTGCCAGCACTCTGGAGCTGTGTAACCTCTTTAAAATCATCAACACAAACGCAAACATGTCTGAATTAAAACCGAGGTTATGAAAGAAACACTAAGTATGATTAAAACGGGGAATATATATGGGAAGTGTGTCATGTTGTACGGCCTTACAGAGAAACAACGCGTGTGTGTTCATTTGTCGAATCAGGAATGAATGACCTCGCCAGGCCAAAGTCTGATATCTTGGGTGTCCAATCCCTACCCAGCAGTATGTTGGAAGGCTTAAGATCTCTATGGATAATAGGCGTGTTTGATCCCACGTGCAGGTACCGGATACCTTCAACGATACCGTCAACAATTTTCAGCCTCAGCGGCCAGTCCAGCATTGCACGAAGCTCTGAATTCTGAGCTGAAAGATCATAAGCAAGTGATAAATATGACGGAAGCCACTTTTTTATTATTTTAAAAAATACTTCCTCCGTCCTATAAAAAAACAGAAGTTGGTTTTTTAGGGACAGATGGAGTAGCTAATTAGCATGCATATATAGCAAACTGTTGAAAGAATATAACTGAAAACTTAGTGCTCAAGACAAGGGTATATTTGGATAATGAGAAATGAGGGGTGGGATCGGAATTGAAAAAAGAATGAAGGGTCGTTAGGATTAAATGGAAGAGAGAGAATAAATTGTTAGGATTTAAAGATGTCTTTTGATGAACGGAAAATCATTTCTCTAACTCATTTGCCAAACAAAGCCATATGTGAGTCATCTCTAACCATCTGCATAGTTAGCTAGTCCCACGCCGCTAAAAGAATTACTTTTGCAGTCGCACTTTGTTTTACCACTTTCAGGCAGACTATAAAAAAATATATTTGTATTATGGTGAAAAGGTCATAAATGTATAAACCACACATGTAAGAGAATCGTCTATAATAATATATAAGAGCCAATATAAGAATGGTTGATTTCTACAGATGGTTTTCGTAAGAAGCCGCCTATAAAATTAAAATCGATTTTCATATGATGTTCCCACAAGGAACCGCCTCTAAAAATGGAACTAACCTTATTTTAATGAAACATCTTTATATGAAGTTGGATGAGGATAATGTGTATATTAACTTTGTAGCCCTCAACAAGATCTTCAAATTTTTGTAGAATAAGTTTTCTCATTTGAGATTGTTTATGGGTGAAAACAATCGTCACAATTACAGAAAGGAACTTCTGCATTGCTAGTGCCAGGGTATCAATTAATCAAAGTGGTTGGCTCGTATGTACACTACTTCAGAAAACTACATCAGTGCCAGTTCCGAACACAGCAAGGAACTTCTGCATTGCTAGTGCCAGGGTATCAATTGGTATCAAGAGACAACCGTTCCAATTGATAGTTTCTTCCCTGCTAGCTAGCACTTATAGTACAATTTTCAAAGCCATTACATCTCAAAGGTTTATTGTTTCACTCAGTTTGCTGGTGTCTTGCATAAATGATAAGCATCATCTCATTCATTAATTAACGTTGCTTTTAAACCTCCTTGATCCCCCTTCTCTCTAGCTTCTTAAGTTGTAATTCTCCTAATCTCCCTCTCCTCTTGTCTTATGACTGCTATTGTAAAGACAATTAATCTTTGTTTTCCCTCGTTTTTATTCCTTCTAATATAACCGGTAGCCCTCCTGCCCATCTATCGTTTTAAAAAAAAAATCGTATATGGAAGGTTATTTTTTTCAATGTACAACACTAGATTTGGAAGTGACCTAATTAAGCATTGGGGCATGCATGTATAGGAGAATCTAGCTTGTGGCCACAAATAATAAATGTACGTACCAAATATGTAGTGGTGCAGGCTGTTGTTGGGCATGTATTCATAAACTAGTGCCCTGAACTTTTCTCCTGTATGCCGATCGTCGTTGTCACTGCAGAATGCAAGGAGCCTAACAAGGTTGACATGAATTGCGTTAAACATAGCTTCCAATTCTGCTACGAAAGTGCCAGTGCCTGATGGTTGCAGCAGCTTTACGGCAACGATCTCATTTTCTTGACGCGATCCCGTTATAGTTGATTCGGCGGGTAAAATCCCCTGCATAATTAGATAAGAAATCTCACCCACATAATTATCATTTAACTGCAAGGCAAACTATTATATATTACAATAGGTCCGTAAAACTAAAATGAAAATCAAAATATTACTCATCAGTTAATTTATCTATAATGACTTCAAATGTAGTACAGCCTGAGTTTGCACAGAGGGACAGTCAGAAGATATACATACGGAATAATTAACTATTGGTCCTCTTATAAATCGCAATTAAAGATTTATCATTGGTCCCATATGTCATAGACGCATAAGGGCTCACATTTCATAGACTTTGAGTGGCAAATCCTTAATTGGCACATCTTAAAAGAAGTGAGGAGATATTTATAAGGCAAGAAAGCTAATTCGCACGCGCACGTTAGCGGTGTGCATTCTAGGCCCATAAAGCCCATGCATAATTGGTGCGCACACGCGAGGCTGATGCGTCCGTACTTTCTTTTTTCTTTTGGAAAAGCTAATGTCCACGCGTTTTTTCGTTTCCTTTTGCTATTTTTTCACGATTTTTTATTTTAGAAGTTGAATCTTTCATCAGTTGAAAGTTTTGAATTTGAGTTGAAAGTTTTTAAGATTTGAGTTGAATTTTTTGAATTTTTGAGACGAAAGTTTTGAATCTTGAGATGAAAGTTTTCAAATCCGAGTTGAAAGTTCTCAATCTTGAGTTGAAAGTTTTCAAATCTGGACTTGAACTTTTCCAAATCTGGATTTGAAAGTTTTAAAATTTGAGTTGAATTTTTTAAAAAAATTCAAATTGAAAGTATTCAAATTTTGACTTGAAAATTTTCAAATATGAGTTAAAAAATTTAAAAAAAATCTTGACTTGAAAGTATTCAAATTTGAACTTGAAAATTTTTAAATCTGGACTTGAAAGTTTTCAAATCATAAATAAATTTGATTTGAAAGTTTATTTCAGTGAACTGGAAAAAAGGAAGAAACACGCACATCATGAACTTTTATAAAAAAAACAAAAGGAAAACACCGAACAGAAACAAAGAAACATGGATCTAAGAGCTAAGCGCTATTAGCGTGGAAAAATATGCACTGTCTTCGTTCCTGGCGCAGACGCGCGGATTAGGATCCCCTTTGTAAAGAACATATTCTATAAAACTTGTATACACATCATGCACACTAACTAAGCAAATTTCATCAGAAAAATTCAAAAAAATATTATGCATGTACTATTCGAAAAAAAACTATGTATTTTTCTTCAAATCTAACTATATGCACACAAGTAAATCATGTTTTAATTAAGCAGACTTTGTCTTTGTTTATCACACGTCTTTCCTCAATGGATGATGCATACTCCCTTCGTTTCAGCTGATTTTCTCATAGATAACTTAAAGACTAGAATTAAAGAAAAGTTTAACAACAATTACAACACTAAGTTTCTTGCATTAAATCTAAATTGAATATATTTTAATACTATGTTTGTTTTTATGTTGAAAATATGCTATATTTTTATATAAACTTAAACAAATATAAAAAAGTTGAAAAAAAAAGTTAAATCAACCAGTAATATGAAAAGGGGGAGTATATGCTAACCAAGCATATGTAATTCCTACCTACTCCATCTATCCTAAAATATAAAAATCTAAGACTGAATAGGACATTTTCATACTACTAATTTGGACAAAAATATCACATCCGGTCATAAGTTCTTGTATCTTAGGGCGGAAGGAGTAAATTCGTGTGCCTCGAGGCAGTGTTACACTATATGCAAGGTGGATATATATATATGTACCTTATAAACTCTTCCGTAATTTCCTTCGCCAATGAGTTTTTCCTTCGCAAAATTTTCTGTGGCATTTTGTAGTGTAACACGGTCAATGGAAGTAATGCCCGGAGAGACACTTCGTCGAATTCCCCCCTCACGAGGCTTTCGCTTGACAGCCCAAACCAAAACAAAAACAACAATAATCACCAACACTACTGCAACTGTTATGACGACAGGCAACTTCCAGTGCGGCGGCCTACCTGTCAAATATTCAAGATTACTTCCAAAACTCTCAAGATAAAAGAGGACGAACAGCGTACATTATATTAATTATATTTAAATTTATATTTTATTTATATATAAGATTGTAGGTGTCTTTTCTACAGTATTTTTCAAAAAAAAACACGCGACTCTGGGAAAATCCTCCCAGCCAGACGCCAGATGCGGACGCGTATGCATCGGGCGCCTCATGCCGCTGCCGCCTAGGCCCCACCACGCGCTTCCGCACGCCGCCACATGACCCCACCACAGCACACCCCGTTGCAACAGTTACCCGGATATAACGGAAACGTCCTATTAAGGGGGATCCGTTTTATTTTTTTTTTCCACAAAAAATGTTTCACCTAGTATACTCATAATGTTTCACTATGTATGGATCAAATGTTGCAGTGAATTAAAATATTCTTTTGAAACAAATCACCCAAATATTATGGAATCCCTCTATTAAGGGACTCCGTTTTATTTTTTTGTTCTACCAAAAATATTTCACCTAGTGTACTCGTATTGTTTCGCTATGTATAGATTAAATGTTGCAGTGAATTGAAACATCCTTTCACTATTTGCTGAAACATTGTTTTATATATGGTAAAACAATACCCGATTTTTTCAAACCGTTTGTTTCATACGTTGTAGCAAAATATTCCATGAGTTGATTTGGTTGTGTTTCAGCTTTTTAAACGATTGAAACATTTTCGATCTACTTAGTGAAACAATTCCGATCTACTTGGCGGAATAACGTGCAATATTTAAAAATAATTCAATAATAAGCTAAATATTTGTTTCGTTGGATTATATCCATGTGTGGTCTTGTTTTAAAGATTTAATTGCAACGAATTTAATAATGCCATCGGATTATGCTTTGGATAGATAATTTAAGTGAAAAAATAGTTTTAAAGTTTGCTTAGAAAGTTTTGCAATGTTTGCATGATGACATATGATGGCGTGGGCCCCATATTTTTCTAAACAAAATCGAGCGCCAGATGTACTGTCTTTCCATAACAATAAATTTAGTAATTCTAAAAACTTCGTCACACAATCTGGCATGACACTAAACAAAGCATACCCACACATATGCAAAAATTTTGTACAGTTAATTTAGGGAACGAATCACATAGGCCCAATATGTTGTTCACTGCAAGATACACATGTTTTTTACTCCCTCCAACTTTTAGAATGTTTCCTAGAAATTCAGGAGCATGAGAAATGTCCATATTGCCCCTCATTAAACATGCATCCACCTTCTAATTTGTACTTAAACAAGCCATAATTAAACACGCAGTATTGATGAGGCTCTATATAGAAACATACGTACCATATATACTAGAGGGGTTGGGTATATCTCTATCTCTACTGTTATAAAAATTAAAGATGTTTGTTAAGGTACTTTAGTACATTATCCGTGTTTGAGTCGGTTTTTAAATTCACTCACTTTTGGAAATACAAATATGTGTTTGAGTCAGTTTTTAATTATAAGGTCGTTCGCTTTTTGTATAATAAATCTCTTTAAAAAAGCTCGCATGCTAATTTCAGATAATTACCGTTCATAATTTTGTAAAAATAAACAAATCGAAGTGAATTCCCACGATGAATTTCACCGTAACTAAACTGTATAATAATAATTAAAAGAAACTTCACCCGTTGCAACGCACGGGCACTTTTTCTAGTATATAAATACATAAAATTCTATTTTTTGACAAACTGTAAATGCTATAAAAGTCTAGTAACTTTAGGGCTGAGTGAGTAATTAAATTCACACATATTTATGATCCTGTATGGTTACATGCATGCGTGGGAATTGTCCAAGTTTAACAATCCAGGTAGTTTCTTCCTCTAAAATTATCCATGTCTACTCGTGCAACTAAGTGCCTCAAACTAATTTCATATTATTAGTTTGCGCAGTTTACGCTTCCACTTTTCCTTCGAGCTCGTGTACCGCCCTTGCATGAGAAGCAACTCATCATCCAAATTTACATCGTACGTTAATTAATATGTGACTAAAACTATAGGTCTTCTTTGCAACACTTTTTTTTTCAAGGAACATTACATTACTAATTTTCGCTGTATTAAATATAGGATACTGCGCATACATATGCATACCTTAGCGAAAATACTGCATATATACAATGTTCTATATGGAAAGAAATCCCTAAAACATGGATAGTCTTAATTAAGCAGATAAGGAAGGAGTCCCTGAAAAAGATGAAACCTAGTCTAATTTTAAGCCGACAAGGAATGCTTGGACAATATCCTAACTTGTTGCCAAGTTGACCAACTTGCAATTTGGAAATGTGGACGGACAACCTAGGGGTGTAAATTCAACACCTCTCGACAACCACGACATAGCATGCTAATTAGGATCTTGAGGAGATAGTCGTTTAGGTCTCGACGAGAGCTTTCCCTTGTATCATGCACTTTATAGGCATCCACATATATATACATATATATATATATATATATATATATATATATATATATATATATATATATATATATATATATATATATATATATATATATACGTATATATATGCATGTACATATATGTATATATGTACATATATGTATATATATGTATATGTATATATGTACATATGTACATGTACATATATGTATATGTATATATGTACATATATGTGTATATGTATATATGTATACATATGTACATATATGTGTATATATACACATATGTATATATATACACATATATATATATATACACATATATATATATATATATATATATATACACACATATATATATATATATGTACATATATGTGTATACACACACACAAAACCTAAATAGGACGTAGAGTTATTACCCTAAGGTGCCCAAAGTATAGAAAAACCTTTATCTCTTTGTTTTTTTCCCCTTTGCGCTTATAAGGACCAACGAATCTTAGTCTTGACTATGGTTTGTAATTTGGAAATAGGGTTTTTTGCCAGTGGGGGGGAGGCGAAAGAACCAAAATCACCAAAATTTTGGTATTTTTCAGCTGCATATTTTTTAAATTTTGACAAATTTTGGATGAATTTGAATAAAATTTGACCAGATTCAAAAAAAATAGAAAAAAAAGGGGAAAATTTCAGGTGTAATATGTGCTTGCCAGTGGGTGCGAAATTACTGAAATTTCATTCTGAAATTGCAATCACTGGTCTTGAATCAAATGGCACTAGATATACATGATACATTTGGTAAAAATGTAATAAAAAGTTAACTAGCTACTCCCTCCGTTTCATAATATAAGACTTTCTAGCATTGCCTACATTTATTTAGATGTTAATGAATCTATGCATATGTATGTGTCTAGATTTATTAACATCTAAATGAATGTGGGCAATACTATACAGTTTTACATTGTGAAACGGAGGAAGTACCTGTTACTAATGTAGCATGACATCCTTGCATAGATGCATTCGTGCATATGATACATCCTTGTGGAGCTTGGCGTGGGAGGATGATAAGCGACAACATTGGTCCACCGGTGAAGCTAGTGGTCTGGTGATGGCGGAAGGGGGATGGGCCGGGGGAGGGGAATGAGGGTGGAGATGTTGGGGATGATGGGAAGAGAGGCACAGCCGGTTGGATATGTCCAGCCACAGAAAAAATGATGGATATGCGCTACGGTCTAGATCACCCCCAAGAATTGGGGATGCAGGGTGTGATTCGAGGGCTTTTCTATAACACGGCTCTAGTAGAACGACCCTTTTGGACCATTTTTTTTCTTCAACCTAAATATTATTTGGGATTGTATTAAGAGGTCCAGCTAGAGTTGATATTAGCTAATCGTATTATAACTCCCCGGGCATGCATGCCAGCACGATCCATGAAATCTAGTCATGAAACTATTCCTTTTGAACAATCTATGTCTTTTGTTGCTCCAGCGCGACACTTTTTTTTCCTCCTATTGACATGATAATTTATTTTTCTTTTTATTGACTAATTAACATGTAACTTCTAGCCTTATCTTGTAGTAGTATAATAGTAAGGACAGGGTTTGAAATGAGAACCTCCAACGATTTAAAGAAATTCAATTTCCCTAAGGATATATAAAGCCACCACATTTATGGAACACCAACAAATCAAAATTAGGTTAAATTACCTATTTCAGATTTCGCTAGCCGCTGGTAGATGTCCTGGCCATTGTCGATGAAACGTAAATCGACGAAAGGCTTTGTCCACATAATGCACCCACCGCCGCTCAAGTCCGCCGCGGCATACGCCACGCACGAGCAGTTGGCAACGCACCTCGCCCTGCACTCGTCCAGCTTGACGCCCATGTCCACCGACGCGTTGCGCGTGTCAGGGAGCTTCACCCCGCGCAGCACGGCGAACCCGTCCGTGCCGCAGTCGAGCGCCACGTCCCGGCGGCACCCGCCGGAGTACTCCCTCATCGACCACTCCGCCGGCGACGCCGGGCTGAACCCCTTCACGCACCGGCAAATCGACGTCGCGCCGGCGTTGCTGTCGCACAGGCCGAACGCGCCGCACTTGGCGTAGCTGTCGCAGGAGTCCCCCGGCGCCTGGAAGAACGTCTTCCACGCCCGCGTCGCCGCGTCCCACACCAGCCGCCGGACCACGCCGTCGTCGGTCACCACCACGCGGGAGAACGGCGCCCCGGCCTTGGCGACGTAGCCGTAGGTGACCTCGCCCGGGCTGACCGTGAGCTGGAAGCTGAACATGTCCGCGAACGACGCCATCTCCGGGACGCCGTTGAACCTCCTGCCGTTCCACACCCCGGTCCGGTACACCTCGGTGCCATTGCCGTCGAGCACGACGTTCTCCGGCAGCGCCTCGTCGCCGTCGGTGACGTACCTGTAGCTCCCCGGAGAAGGATCGGCGGGGGAGCGCCACGACAGCAGGTACCACTCGGCGCCGGTCCACCGGTTCTTGCCGATCTTCATGCCGGGCAGCAGGGTGTTGGTGGGGTAGTCGAACGACTGCCACAGGGCGGTGCCGGAGCCCTGCCCTTGCACCACCAAGTTGCCGGAATCGAGCAGCCGCGCCGCGGCGGAGGTAGTCGCGGAAGGCAGCGCGGTGGCGGAAGAGGACCACACCACCTTGCCGGAGCCGTCGAGGAGGAGGAGGACGCCGGCGTCGGTCAGCATCAGTGCGCCGGAGGTGTCGTTGAGAGCGTGGTCACGGTTGGCCACCCAGTGGACGGCGGCGTCCGGCGAGACGGAGAACCAAATCCCGAGATACCTCCTCCTGGTGGCGGCGGGGGAGAAGAAGCCGAGGGTGAAGGACCCGCCGGGGGAGACGAGCACGTCGCCGTCGCTCACGTTGCGGCCGCTCGCCAACACGTCGGAGAACTTGCGGGCGGCGGCTGGCGTTCCGGGGACAACGAGGTGGAGAAAGGGCAGAAGTAGGATGAGTTGGAGGACGAGAACATGGTGGTGCTGGTGGCTTAGGGTTGACATCTCTCTCATATGATCACTTGTCAATCTTCTCTAGTCTTTTCTTCCACAGCGCGACGTCGCTAAATCGACCCTTTGTAACGTTTTATATATGCATGACTGCGTGTAGATATGTGTTTTTCGAGGTGAACTTTTAATATTTCAATAGCTAGCTGCATCCTATGCAGGCCATGTATGCAGTCACTAATTGGTGGTTGGCTTGCCGAGGTCAACACACCTCATTTATCAGCATTAAATAACGGCTACACGAAAAGAAAAGTTAACAGCAATAAACTGACAAAATTCTCATTGTAGCATATACCGGTATCTTCGTAAATTTGGAACCAAACTTTTGACCATGGTAGATAATTGTTACAAGAGCCAAAACAAAGACCATCCATCTTACACAACAAATAGTTCCTAAATCAATTGATCACATGTACACACCATTGATTGTTAATATGATCCTTTTTGCATTAATATGGCAATGAACATTGTTCTGGCACTAGCACAAAAACACCCATCTAAAAAATCCCCAGCGTCTCCTAGAACCGACAGTGATAAGGAATGAGTGCTAGAAATACTGGTGGAGAAACCATCTTTGGTCGGTCGACCAAATTTCACAATAGTTCCGATTCCATTAAAAACCGGGACTAAAAACGATTTTTAGTCCCGGTTTAAAAAATTTTGATCTTTAGTCCCGGTTGGTAACACCAACCGGGACTAAAGATGATTTGTAGTCCCGGTTCATCCCCTGTCAGATGTATGTCAGGGGGTCGAGAATCTTTAGTCTCGGTTGATACTACCAACCGGGACTATAAAAATTACCACTTTAGTCCCGGTTGGTATCACCAACCGGGACTAAAGATCAAGTGATCTTTACTCCCGGTTGGTATTACCAACCGGGACTAAAGATCGATCTTTAGTCCTGGTTGAAGTTATCAACCGGGAGTAAATATTTCTCTCCCACATCTGATCGGTTAAGTCCCAGACAGATATTTACATAAGATTGGAACATCCCCTCTCTTGCTCTTCTCAGATCCAATCCTCTTCCTCCTCCCCTCCCCTCTCTTCCTCCCCTCCCCTTCCTCTTCTCCTCCCCTCTCCTTCCTCCTCCTCCCCTCTACTCCATCTTCCATCAGCCGGCCGGCGGCGGGCGGCGGCGCGGCCGCGCGCGTGGAGGCGGGCGGCGGCACGGCGCGGCCGCGCGCGTGGAGGCAGCCGGTGGGCAGGCGGCTGTGCGCAGGTGGCAGCCGGGCGCTGGCTCGGTTTCTTTTTTTTTCTTTTTTTTTTGTAAGTTGTGTTTCACTGGATGTATAATTTTGTGATTCATTGCATCGCATGGATATAAGATGTATAATTTGTATAATCTGTGATGTTTTTAATTTATGTGTAGTTTTTAGGATTTGTGATGTATTTGATTTGTGATGTTGATTTGGTATGTGCATCTCATTCGATTCGGGAGAAAATACATAGATTAACACTAGCCATTAGCAAATCAACAACAAAATAATAATAATAAAAAATCTTGATGAACTGTCGCTTTCCCTCTTTAGTCCCGGTTGGTAAGATTCCCCCTCTTTACTCCCGGTTGGTGTTACCAACCGGGACTAAAGATCGATCTTTAGTCCCGGTTATTTGAACCGGGACTAAAGATAGTGATATTAAGTCCCATATTCGTAGTCCCGGTTGGAAAACCGGGACTAAAGGGGGGTTATCAACCGGGACTACAAACGGTTTCTCCACCAGTGAAAAACAAATTCTACAACTATCTCTGCCCTCAAGAAACAGGCAGTAATGGTTTAGTTTCCTCCGCTCTCTCTCTTACCGAGCACAGATCTATTCCTGCTCTGTTTCATGTTTGTGTATGTGAAATCGTTTCTTGGTGTGAGCTTGGGTCGTTGATCATGATGAAGGATTGCATGTCTTTCTATTTTTCTTGGATCATGTGTGTGTCAATTTATTTGTTGAATTGGCCTCTTAGTTTTCCTACAATTGCATATGTTTGTGCAATAGAGAACGAGTGCATGCAATCGAAGTTAATTAATTCTGTTACTTTTTGCTGGAAACCAGTATCACTTCCGCTTCGTCCTACTAACCGGCAGTGATACACTGTTTACCGTAAACAACAACTTCAATCAAATGCAAAAGGTTTAACGCCATATTGCACACAAGATGCATGTTGTGTTGCTAGTGCATCGTACTCTTCTATATTTGAGGTTCTTACTTTCAAATGGTTCCTTAGACAAGTTTTATAACACAAATTATAAGAGAATGTTGATAACAAAACAAACCAGTCTTGTCAAATAAAAAAAATAGTGATTTTCACCTTAGACCTCTATCCTTGCCAAAGTTTCACCTTGGACCCATTTATTCTTCTTTTTTTTGGATGCCTTTTTTTTTGCCTTCTAGTTTCACATCGGATCCATTAAGGTCTTGTTCGGTTAATCCCTGTGAGGGAGGGATTGGAGTAGAGTTATTCCACACCTATTGTGGTGTAGATTATTCCCCCTCAATCCCCTCCAATCCTCTTCAATCCACTCTAAACAGAACAAGGCATAACTCTTTTCCTTGAGGTTATGCTCTCCATGGGACAACGATCTTCTCCATGGATATGCTTCACTTGTCTCCATCACCATGCTAACATTCCATGTTTACCTAGAAATGGAAATAATGTTAATAATATGAGATCCAAAGTGGAAAAAAGGTAATAAAAGCAATTTAATGTGAAATATGTCTATTATTTATTCATGTATTAAGAAGAATAAATGTGTATCTATTTCTTCTTAATACATCAACAAATAATCAACAGATTTCAAGTGTATCCAACAGAACACGTTATCAACTGATCATTTCATCCAAAAATTTAATCAGCAAGTTCAACACGACCCATCAAGCAATCATCAAGTTCATACTAGCCGTCAACAGATCATTCCTTCCAACACTATTCCAACAAATGAAAAAGAATCAACAACATGAATGTCATTCACAGCATTTGCACGAATCACCACCGCTACAGGTACCCCAGCATCTCGGATTCTCGGTCCCATGCCATGGGCAAATGCCCTTCCCCTTGGTAGAGTATGATCTCAAGCTCGGACTGGCAAGATATAGCCCACCAGTGCCTCCACTCAATCGCCATCACCAGATTGAACCGGCCATATCAAAAAACCACCATTCCAAATCATCCCACTAGCGATCTACCAAGCCGACACGTCTCCACTCTGTTACCGCCGCCATGTCCACACCAGTCGTCGCGCCCGGGGAAGATAAAGGGTGGCGGCACAAGTGGTGGTGTCAGCCTCCTCACAACATCAAGAGGCCGCGACACCACCGCCTCCGCTCCATCAGATGACTACCGCCGCTGTTCCATTGCCATGTGTTCAATTTTGTACTTAGTATTTTTTAATTATTGATATAGGAAAATCAAACATGATGATTTATATATTTAATTTAGAAGCTAGCACAGAATTATGACGGCTAGTTTTGAATTTTGGAACTATTACCACATTTAAATTAAAATTATGAATTTTAAAACAATTAATTTACATAATGGTAAATTCATTTACATGCAAATAAATAGTACTATTCCATAAATAAAAACCATGAATGAATTCATAATCATAAAATAGCTAGAATGCTCATTTTGCTACGAATATGTTTGTAAAAAAAATCAATTTCATTTTCCCCATGGTTTTTTGAATATCAATGGACCCTGCAAACGCATATTTCAAGGACCAATACATTGGGACTCTGCAGCAAACATTTGATTGCATTTTTCTGATTTATTAGCTGGGATTACGTACGTTGTACAGAATGTCCACCTTTGCCTTGATTTGATGCTTAATTAGCTTGGACAACTAATTAATGTCTGTAGTAAAAAAATATGAAATAAGGACAGGCCACACAATTGATAGGTTTAAGCATTTCCTTGAGGAAGTTCGATCCTGACCTAGCTAGGAACATCTCTCATCGTAAACTAAAATTAATATTGGCCAGTTGTTAAAAATACTAGTAGGAAACATATAGAATCCGGGTTTGACTTTCTTAGTTTATCACGTAAAAGATTGGCTGTTTCTAGCCAACATAGATCGAGATATGCCGAAATAGGTATTGGATTGCACGACGCGTTCTCTTCTCCATTTATCCGTAGAAAGAATATAATCTAGGGTAGCTAGGTACATATGTTAAGGTGAAGAAGACATTGATCGGGTCAATCTGGATTGTGACTTTGATTGGGTCATCTCAGGAACATATGTAGCTAGCTAGATACATTGAGGTTTTCCCATAATCCCTAAAAAAGAATAGACTAGAGAAAATCTAAAAAATATTATCGACAAGAAATTAACCCAATTCAAAAAATCCAACTTCATAGAAATGACATCGTACAAGGTATTTTCTTCTAGAAATGCTTTCTTCGTTAGGTTCCTGTCAACAACCCTCCTTTAAGTCCTATAAGATCATTTTCCTTTACGAATTGTTGAACAAAGATTAAAACTTTGCTTTTTAGGCCAGCCTACACTAATTTGTAGATTGCTCTCTAAACTAAATTATTATATAAAAAAACTATCATTAGATGGAATAGATATTCAGCTGGATGATTTTGTATTGTACGCTAGTCATATTCTTTTTTATTTCCATCCTAGTTCTTCCGGTTTACGGGCTGCCATTGTTGTCTCCCATGATCTTTATATCTGCCATCATGCACCCAAATGAACCTTCCCGGCCCCATCATGTATATACAGTTGCCTTGAACGTAACATATTTCATCTGTATGACTACTACTGAAAACGTTGAAGAAAACAGTCACCAGATTATTTCATCAACTTGTTGACTGTAAAAAAAAAGTTTAAATATATAAATACGGAGCAAAACGCGTCAAGAAATCCATTTCCAGAAGTATAGCGTGAAGTCAATCACGCCTTGCCACTCAACGTACGTACGAATTTTCAAAGAGGGGTTTACACATATTCTATTACTAATTTATTATTTCCTAGTGGTTTCTCTGATTAGTGCTTCAACTTTGGATTGTTTAGATTCACAAAAATATTTTGGATTGTTGGCATCTTGTATTATATTTCTGATAGAAATGTATTGTTTGAGATGACCTTGACAGTCCTAATTAAAGTGCTACAGGAAGCTAGGGACAAGCTTTTCTCAGAATAAGATAGTACACATATTGTATCCATCTTAAGTTTGGTATATCTTCGAAAATCCCCACTTGTATAATAAGTAATTTATTCAGTCATTGTTTTCCATTTGTTGACTAAATTTACTTGTACGACTTTGCAAGTTCTACCATCTTCACTGGGTATAAGAACCTGGTGTTCATTTTCAGGATTTTAAATTTCGGACACGCTTTCTCCTGGAACTTTAATTCGCTAAAATATAGTTTTGCTTACCTAGTTTATTTCGAATGTCATGAAAACCATATTTCAAATATATACGATTTATCTGTAGACATTTTTTTTTCAAAATACATTAAAAATAACTCTGACTGGTAAACAGTTTTTCCAAAAAGGTCAAAACAATAACCAAATAAACAGGAGTATGAGAAATGCTCTACCAATCAAATTTAAATTAGAGAATCCTTTAGGTGATTGCATTCATATTTGTTAGGCCCATTTCCAAGCGAAATTTAACTATTTGTCACTATTAGGTTTGGCAATTATTCAAATTTCCTTCTTGGAATTGCAGTTATTTTCTTGTCACTTTTAGGAGGTAGTTTCTTATTTTCTTGCCACTCAAGGTGAAAAAGGCATAGGACCCACTGGTCATTGTCTCTCCCTCCCCTTCATCTCTCTCCATCCAGTTGGATGATGCTGATTGACCTTCTCCCTCACCGCCCCGTCTCTGTTTTTGTCGCCGTCGACATAGCCAATCCCGATACCAATAAATCCACAAATGCTTCGGTGGTGCCAAAAAATGCTTGTTGCTATTTCTTACGATCGCAGATATCGATATAGCACTTCACCCATGAGTATTCTCAAGCGTATCATATTTATATTCCGTGGGAAAGGGGTGGCATAAAGATATGAATTATACATCATTAATCAATCTATAATTAATCAACCATAGTCAAAACAGGGGTTAAGATGATATAATTAAGGTAATGGACACCACAGAAGATTCACCTCTATATTAGTGTTAAGTAGAAAAAAGCATTAGGAAGCTATGATATAACTGTACTTCTATATTAATCATGTTTAGTATATACTTAACATATACATGCTTACAATGCCTACAACATATAGTTCCAAGCACCCACGTACTACTGAAAGGCCACTCCCTGCTGGTCTACGAGCGTGATTATCGCATTTACGCACTCTTACATCATACCAGAATATGGGGAAATACAAAAGATGAATAGGGCTGTCACCACCGGCCGCCTACCTCACTTTCCGTGGGGCACACCCGCATCCAATGCCAGTTATCTAACCTAAGCATCATGCTTATGCTAATAAATAAGGTCACTAACTTCTCTGGGACTCCCACCCTTCAGATGGATAGGTTAGAGCTAGAGCAACCTATAAAGATTATTGGACCGTTACCGTATCATAGGTCAGCTAGCTTACCATAAAGCAAATATACGAAATATATACTACTCATAGAACATATACTCAATGAAGAAGTACACCGACTATGAGCATAAAAAAATAAAGAAGATAATTCTATTAATTCACCTATAGTCTTACAAGAAGAGTAAAGTACTAAAGACATATCGAAAACTCCGAGAATATTATAGAGCGAAAAATCCTAAGCTTATTTCTACTAGAACTATAGAAAATATAATAGATAGAGAGAGTGAGCTCTATTTATAGCCACCCAATGACGGTTGTATGGTGGTTAATGGTCCGGGAAACCATCATAATCTCCATCAGTAGTGCAGGAGGAGTCGCCACGTGGAAAAAGTGTGTCGGGTGCGCCAAGGTTGTGGTTCAGCCGAACCAGGTCCACCGACATTCCCCACCGACTTTGGTGAGTGGATGACAGGTGGGGCCCTATGACGGTTCCTAGTGGTTTGGGCCCACTTTTAGTCTGTTTAAGCAGACTTGTGGACCTCTCAATCCGTGTGATTGCCATGATTTACTGGAAGTGTGTTTCTTTACATGCCGACTTTATTTCTCCTTCACTTTTGTGTTTATTCTCTACATCCATGTTAATTCTCCAAGTGTAGTACAACTACATTATTTATTATTGATATACTGTAAGAAATGTTAGTTATCCCTTTATTTATTATGATAGTTGGCCGTCGATATTGGTACTTAAAAGACCGTCAACACCACAGCACCCTCCTCGCCAGCCACCTCTTGCCGCTGCTACCTTCCTTGCCAGGCGTCGTCACCACCGACTCCAGTGAAGGGAGAAGAAGATAGAGAGGAGAGAGGGGTGAGCTGGATGAAGTGGGACCCACCGACGTGTGGGTCCCACTATATTTTTTATGTTTTTGTTTGATTGGCATATGGGCCCATATATTATATTCTAATTTTTAATTTTTTTTATCTCGATTCTAATGCCACATCAAACTTTACGTGCGACGAGACCAAATCAAACCATCCATGTAGGTGCCATGCCAGCTGTAACGGCTGTCTAAACCACCCAGGGACATTACCTCTATGGTTTTACAAGTTGCAGGACGCGTTGTATTTGGTATTTTAGTTTAGGGGCGAATTTCAAACTCGACAAAGGACCCTGAAGTGAACATATTGCTATATACCAGCCCAAAAGCGCAAAACCAAAAATGGAGATCTAAAAGGCACACATGCAAACCAGTCCAAAATCGAATATTTTAGCTGACGTTACATTTTGTTTTTTTTCAGACGTTGAACAGAATTGGCAGATGCATTGTATTTTTTCCAGTCTAGTCGGGCCTTTTATTCAGTTATATGTATCGCCTTATTAAAAAATTAGTGTCTACAAGATCCGTCTTAAAATAACTTACTTTTTACCCATCCATATATGCCAATAAAAATACTAGAATATTCCCTATTTTATCAATCTCAATATACCATTGCTTTTACAAACTCAAACACGATTATTGCTTAAAGATAAACTCGTTTTGAAACAAATAAAAAGAGGCAAAGATTATCTAATTTTAGGACGGACGCAGTTTTTTTTTTTGCATGCCCAATTATTGATGTTTATAATTACTTTGTCCCGAACATACAAATATAGCCAACTAATGAATGTATATGAATCATTATTGCACTATTACAACTTACAACAGGCTTATAAAACGTATAATGTTACACACGACAAACGTCACAATAATACAATGACCACACTAACCTGCATGTACTCAATGCAGGTAACCAATCAAGTTATAACGAATAATTTAATTAATTAACTATAGAAAGCCTTAATCACGTCGTTGTCACACTTGCTTGATCCGAAGTGACGTACCAGTACAATACATTTATGCAAACAGACGAACAAATTAACTCCTTATTGACAGAAAGAGAGAGAGATTTTCCATAGTTTAATTAACAGCGTGGCAGATCGGCCGGTGGCGGCGGCAACGAAGTCTCCTGTGTCGGCCCGTCCAGAACCTCGAACACCATGGCCAAACCGAACTCAATATGAGCTTCAAAGTGGCAATGCATGTACCACATCCCTGCAAACACAAACCATTTCCCCAAATTTCGTCACATTTCAGCACCAAATTCGACTTGAATTAATTTGCTAGAATAATTGCTTTTGTACCAGGGTTATTGGCGACGAAGCGGATGACGGCCCAGCCGCCGGTGGGTACGGCGATGGTGTTGCGCTCCTGCGGGTTGACGAGGTTGAACAGCGGCGCCGCCGTGGCCTCGTCGTAGTTGCCGAACCCTTGCGCGAGGACGAAGAAGTTGAGGCCATGGATGTGCATCGGGTGGCTCTCCTTGGCGATCAGCCGCGTGTTCTGCAGCACCATCTCCACCGTCTCGTTGTACCGCAGCGTCTTCACCTTGGTCGACTTGGTCGTGAACTGCATCGTCGCGTTGTCGCTCTCGTCGCCGGTGTAATCGAACACCACCGGCGGCGTGTCCGGGAAGTCCCGGGTGTAGACGCCCGCCGACGCGTTGCTGAAGTGCGCCTCGAGGAGGGAGATGGCGGTGGGTGCCACGAAGGAGGCGTTGTTCATGCTCGACGAGAACACCGGCGGCGCGCTCCGGTTGCAGAGCAGCTGCGCCGTGTTAGAATCTCTCCTCTCTGAATGTTTAAGTACTAATCACTAGCACTAACATAAACACTTGTATTTACTCGGTGGACACAAACACACAAGAACTGAACAAAACACACAGGCTTTTGGTTGATGTGGCTAATCACAACTCACACCATTTTCTTCATTACATAGACTTAAGTACATGCAAAAGATAAGGATCAGCCAACTAATTTGGCCTTGACTCACGCCTTACTCCAACATGCAGATGCCATGCAACAAGGTAACTAGCTAGACCTATTCTTCCGCCACAAAATCACTTCGTGGCCTTCCAGCTTGAGCTGCAGCTCTGCATGCATCTTAACACATCCAACTAAATGCTTGCATGCAGCCGCTAATCACTAGTTCTACATGCTAATGCAACAGCCTTTACACATCGTAGATATCGGCACGTTCGTCCGGCCGCATCGCACAGCTCACAGCAAGCACGTTTCACACGTACTGGCTCGGATCCTTTGCTGCCACACACTACTACCTTGTGCAAAACCTATACAAACCAAATGCATACACTCTAAAGACAAGATTATTGCTAACATTTACCCCCCTAATCTTGGCATGCTTCATTCAGAGAAGAGTTGGCTCCTCATCACTTGACGCTGCGGCAAGGAGCGCTATCTCCTTCTTCTTCTTTTTCTCAGGGCACTCATACGCAAAGTGTCCAAGTTCTTGACAGTAGTAGCACATTGTCTTGGACCTGTCCGGCTTCTTGACGCGGCTGCGGCCACCGCTTGTGTCGCCGGACGTGAAAAGTAGATGCTCGCCATTCTTGTCATCACGCTTGCGTATCCTTTCCTCGTATGCCTTGAGGCGACCAATTGCCTCATCAAATGGCATGCTGTCCAAGTCAGAGAACTGCTCAATTGCAGCGATGACATGCAGAAACTTATCTGGCACAGAATCGAGTAGTTTCTTGACTTGCTCATCATCGTCCATGGTTACACCAAGATCGCTCAACTTGTTTGCCAGGCCACTGATTTTGCCGGCAAACTCGTCGATTGACTCGGTGTCCTTCATGTGCAATGCCTTGAAATCGCTCTTCAAGGTTTGCACTCGCGCCTTCTTCACACGCTCAACGCCAAGGAACCTCGTCTTGAGGCTTTCCCAGACCTCCTTGGCAGTCTTCTTCTTCGCGATCTGCTGCAACACGTCTTCGGGGACGGCCCCGAAGAGACACGCACGTGCCTGCTTGTCCTTCTTAATGTCCACGGCCTCATCGGCCGCGGGCTCGATGGCATCCCAGATGCCTTGCGCCTCCATGTTAGCCTCCATCTTGATCGCCCAGGTGGAGTAGTTGGTGGAGGTGAGCACTGGATATGGGAGCGACACGATGCCCTCCCTCATCGATCGCGATGCGGAGTGCTCGACGATGGCCATCTTGTTGAAGCGCAGGATCTTGGGCATAAATTGGCTCTGATACCAATTGTTAGAATCTCTCCTCTCTGAATGTTTAAGTACTAATCACTAGCACTAACATAAACACTTGTATTTACTCGGTGGACACAAACACACAAGAACTGAACAAAACACACAGGCTTTTGGTTGATGTGGCTAATCACAACTCACACCATTTTCTTCATTACATAGACTTAAGTACATGCAAAAGATAAGGATCAGCCAACTAATTTGGCCTTGACTCACGCCTTACTCCAACATGCAGATGCCATGCAACAAGGTAACTAGCTAGACCTATTCTTCCGCCACAAAATCACTTCGTGGCCTTCCAGCTTGAGCTGCAGCTCTGCATGCATCTTAACACATCCAACTAAATGCTTGCATGCAGCCGCTAATCACTAGTTCTACATGCTAATGCAACAGCCTTTACACATCGTAGATATCGGCACGTTCGTCCGGCCGCATCGCACAGCTCACAGCAAGCACGTTTCACACGTACTGGCTCGGATCCTTTGCTGCCACACACTACTACCTTGTGCAAAACCTATACAAACCAAATGCATACACTCTAAAGACAAGATTATTGCTAACACGCCGGCTGGCAGTCGGAGACGCCGAGCCCGACGGTGACGAACATGTGGGTGTCGACGGCGAGCGGCACCGTGGGCTTCCCCGGGAGCACCAGCGCGGTGAGGTTGGACCAGAACCGGTGCGCCGTGGCCGTGTCGTTGTAGTCCGGCCGCGCCGGGAGCACCGGCGGCACGGCGTCGTCCGCCTCGCCGACGTACTCCACCACGGCCGTCGCCGTGGTCTGGCTGAAGGGCGGGCCGCTCGGGACGGCGCTGTCGTAGGGCGTCGCCGCCATGTAGAACCTCCCACCGGGCGACGCGGTGGCGTTGGCGTCGGCCACCATGAGCGCGTCCACCGTCTGCCCGGGCGCGATCACCACCACGTCGGTGGCGTACGGCGTGGTGTAGCTCGCGTCGACGGCCACCACCGTGAACCCATGCCCCGCCACCTTGACGAACAGCGGCGTGTTGAGCGCGGCGTTGATGATCCGTAGCAGGTGCGTCTCGTTGCGCCGCACCCGGAACACCTCCGTCTGGTTCGCGGCGGTGCAGTTGTACAGGTCGCCCGGCTTGCCATTGATGGTGTAGGCGTCGGCGTTCCGTGCGGGGATGCCGGTGAGGAACGCCATGCGCTCGAGGTCGACGACGTTGGCGTTCCACCACTCGCCGAGGAGGACGACGTGCTCGGTGTCGGGCTTGGCGGGGAACGGGGCGGCGGCGCGGGGGTTGAGGACGATGGCGCCGTAGACGGTGGCGCGGAGGAAGGAGATGTGGGCGTGCCACCATAGGGTGCCCTCCTGGTCGCTGACGTTGAAGCGGTAGGTGTAGTTGTCGCTGGGGCCCACGGGACACTGCGTGATCATCGATGGGCCGTCGGCCCACTGCGACCCGCGCTGGAACACGCCGTGCCTGCGTACGTCATGGCCCAAAAGAAGAATGTTATCTATCCATCCAAAATAAATATCTATCCGTCCAAAAATAAATAAACTTAGTACGCATACGTTGTATTCACAAGCTCAGAAAATAAAGAGGGAAGCAATTGGAGATGAAGTTCTATAAGAATTTTGGATATTGAAAAGGTGAAATTTGAACAAATTTACAGTAGTTGTAGGTAATAGGTAGTACCAGTGAATGGTCATATTGTAGGGTGACTCATTGACGAGGTGAACCACCACCGTGTCGCCCTCGGTGACGTTGATGGTCGGGCCGGGGAGCTGCCCGTTCACCGCCGTGATGATCATCTCCGGTTGGCACAGCCGGCTTATGGATAGGTTGCCCACCTGGACGATGCAGACCGCCAGTAAAACAATTATTAGCAAAAAATCACTACTGCAGCATGCCTATTGTTCTTTGTTGCTTAAGAATTAAGATGGTGACAGGGTAAAAAAAAATGGAGTAGATATGCTACTGATTGATTACTGAGCAAATTGTAGGACTTAGACACGTGAGTTAAACCGGTTTCTCAATACTCTCCTTTTCTAAAATAAATCAACTTTTGTAGACAAAATCTGAACATAGGGACGGAAACATTACTAACAAGCTAGGTTCGTTAGCTCATTCCAATATGTGAAACATTAATACCCAAGTTTTGCTACGATTTTTAATACAAAAGGTTCTATTTCACTGTCATTACCTCCTCCTATAAGGAATAAGAACATTTTCAAGAGCACTTAAAAATTCTGATCTATTTTTTTACTCACTTTAATTAACCCTGCAACTACTGAAAGACCTCTTATCTTATTCCGTTGAATTTATTTTTTATGTTTCATTTCTCCTTATGCATGCTGTATTTTAAGTTTCAATTTTGTAGGGTGCTAGATCACATTATATCTTAGCTTCTCAACTCCTTATCTTCGTAGATTGGAAGCACCTAAGACTAATTTAATCTACATAATTTAAAATTCATCCATACAAACAATAATGAAATTTTTTCAAAACATTTTGTGACATGGATATTTTCATGACCATTCTACAAAATTTAACTCATAACATGCTTCCTATAGGAACAAACAAGATGGGCGAAGTATAATTGGGGAATAAATTAATAAGTGTAAAGTGCTTCGATAATATATTTGAGTTAATAAATTCATACGCTTTTTTTCCTTTAAATAACTAGTATATGGGCTAAGAAAAGGAATGTATAATTTTTAATCACACGTCAAGTCCGAAACTATTTTCTTATCATCATCATCGTAAACAATCTAGTTATCAACTGAAGATCCGATCAACTAAAGGGGTGTAGTGGTACGATGACAAACTAGCTAGCACCACCACCACTAGCTTTCTTATTTACAGTAGAAGATAGAAATGAAAATCATGTATCTACTTGAGCTAAATGCCTAAATCGCAAGAAGATGATGAAACAATATATATATACATGGACACTTACATTGAAAGTGTGCTCCACAACAGCGCCATGAGCAACCGAAGCGATGACCAAGACAGCAAAAGCAACCGGCAGAATCATCAGCCGGAGGAGAGAAGAACAACAAGCCATGTTGTCCTTACACAAGCTTGTGCATGTGTCGTAGTGCAGCAAACACAAGTGCATGCACAGAGACAATTTAATTAGCTCTTGTGATCATATGAAACAGAAGATTTGTTGTAGAGAGTTATCAATGAGTCGTGGTATTTATAGCCCACGAGAGTTGCAGGACCACTGTCATTACTAATTGTAACTGGTTGACCAATCATGCTAATTAATTAATTTAGTTAATTAGAAACATAGAACAACTACACACGCAAGTAACCATCCATGTTTTGGTGTGGTGTCGCCTTGAGTTGAACCTTGCTAGTGATAGTACACGTTTTATTGTTATCTGTTCATGTTTGAAAATTTTCAAGTGGTTTCATCAAAGTTTAACTTCTTTGTCCCTCGGGAAAAAAGTCTCACTTTGCCTAGCTACATCATCCGAAGTCAATTTTGCTTCGCATTTAAGATTCGTTTTTATTAATTTTCAGATTTATTCATGGGATATGTTTGACTATATATATATATATATATGTATGTGCTGCTATATATAGATTAGGTAATAGATGATGGTCCATATATTGCATAGAAGTATTCAACAATGTGAAGCTCGTTGTACTTTCAACAGTATGGGCAAGGAGTTAGGGAAGATAACATTTTTATGGACCATAAAATTAGATAATCATATATGGTGGCAGATTGACTGAATACTATGATGTAGTCTCTCCACTTTTAAATTATTTGTCGTCGTTATAGCTTTATCCTAAATCAAACCTATCTATCTTTCACTATCAATTTTACAAATTCGTACCCGTTAATATTATAATATTTATATTTTTAATTCAACGTAACAAAATAATTTCATAATATATAATTCGTATATTATTAAACTATATGAATTTTTAAAAATTAATAGTAAAAGTAGACATGTTTGATTTAGGATAAAACTAAAACGACAAGTAATTTGAAACAGAGTACCGTAGGTCAAACATTTCCACTGAGTTTTTAATCAATATGCTCATGGAACCTATGATCAGCAAGGAAGAGATTATTATTCTCTCTTTCAAATTCGCATATTCTTCACGAAGTCATGAAAAAAAAATGTACCAAGCGTGTTGAAATAAATAGCAAAACAAACATTCAGAAAAGTCTGTAATATATGATAGGCTAAACGACACAACTGAAGGTATGATTTTCTCAAGGGGCTCTTTTCATTATTGACTCGCTGTCATTTAGGCTAACAACTTTTGCCACTATTTCAAGATTGAACAGTTGACGGAAAGCAACAAATCATGTTCTCTCTTTTACCCTCTACCTAGAGATCGATGTCTGAAACAAGACTAGACTTTTTCACAAAGTTGAATGGAAATAACACAGTATAGGCACAAACACAAAAGCAAGATAAACAGAACTACTCTGGAAGCTAGCTATAATCAATGGACAGCATTTTGTTAGTCAAGGATGTGGTCGGTTTCTGCAAGCAAAACACGTAATTGCTACGTTGTGTCAGTCCCCTAACTAAACTTTACCTTTGCATAGTTGTGCAAGTTTTACCTGCCTCTCGCATACGTCTTGTTCTTCAGAGCTGTCATTCAACAGTGCAAAGACAAAGTTATAACTCAAAGTGTTGCCTGATCTGGATTTTTTTTACATTTTAACCCTTTACAAAACTTATTTTAAAAAACAAACCTCTAGACAAACTAATTTAAAAAATGAATAATTTTCTTAGCGCTGGTGACCCTGGCGTGGAGACACTAAACCTCGACGCCAGTAATTTTGGCACCAAGAAAAATGATTTACTACTGAAATATGTTTTTTGAGAGGTTTATTTATAAAGTAAGTTTCAAAACAGGCTAAAATGTAAAAAAAAAAAAACAGACTGCCAGATGGTGTGTCTAAAACGGAAAGAACAAATTAAGGATTCGTTATAAAGTTGGTTCAATAGTATACATGCAGTTACAATTTACAAAAGTTATTATTACAAAGTCGATCCAGGATTCGTTACGTTCGCCACACAAGTTGGTGGCTAAAACGGAACGACCAACAAAATTATCAGGTAAAAATGTCTGTTTCTCCTCGTCTCAATAGCGAAAATACACGTTGGCCGAGATGCGTACCTGTCATATGTATCTATAGGCTCAGATCAGATAGATGCATGAAACTGAACGTATGTGTCACATTCAGAGATGAGCAGAATTTGTTGTACATGTGTATCAACTGATATACGTAGTTTTTTTTTCTTTTCTTTTGGGTTAAGATTGCCACTGATGACCACGGATTGAGATAAGCCGCCTGGGGGAAGGAATAGTCTCAATCAGCTTAATTAATTTGCAGGCCGGGATCCTATAAGATTTTTATTTTGATATCAAACCCTAAAAGATATTGATCTTTAAAATCTTCTAATCCTATAAACCTAGTTATTTGTAATTATTGTTATTCCCTACCTTTTTTTAAGATCAGAGTACATGCATGCTTCGGGTACTATGGCACTAAAAGTTTATGATTTTTGCTAGACACCTTAAAAATGTGATATGGTTGTAGTACACTCCCAAAAAACTGATAATTTGTTGAAAGATACCATGTCCATTATTTTATCTTTTTGGGTCAAATTAAATGGAGAGAGAAATATTTTGAAATGACAAATTTTCCCCTGGCCAATAGCTTGTGATGGCCATCGTTACCACCAGCTCCAATTTCTAGGTTTTGGAAAGGAGATGTGGCTTGGGTATGGTTTGAGCTAGACGCATACTTGTTACAACTTGTTGGCCCGAGGGACAAAACATTTGGCTAAAAAATGATAAACAATGGCTACAGTGTCCCTTAACAAATTATCAGTTTTGGGTTGTTCTACAATTATACCACGTGTTTTAGGTGCCCAAGAGCTAGCAAAAACTACAAACTTTAAGTGTCTTATAACAAATTTTACCAAGTAACAAATGCTGCCATGTACTGATCAAAATCGGGTTGGGCTCCGGGAGCATGTACTATAAGCATAAATGCAACAAAGATTTAGATGATGAGGTAGAGGAGAGAAGTAAAAAGAGAGAGAAGAAAGAGTAGTGTGAATTAGATGTAAGTAATTAAAATAAAGAGATTTGCTCTAGTCCAACAAAAAGTACCTCGAGGTACCGGTACCTGACGGTACCAAATCGTTTCTGATCGTTGGATCTAATAATGCTCACCTTACCCAATTAGATACAACGATCGGAAACGATTTAGTACTATGAGATACCGGTACCTTGAGATACTTTTTGATGGACCAGAGCAAATCTCTAAAATAAATAGTTACTATAATGCATTAGAGGTAATATATATTATATATGATCTCTTAATTAATTAGTTGATGATATGGATAAAATTAGATATATCAATCACGCCTACTATAAAACTTGCTCTGAGACCGCACACAGATGTTAGACACCTAGCTTCTATCATTTAGCCCTAACGGTTGCTTGGCTGTAGGAGAAAATAAGGATTATGATAGTTCAACAACAGGCCTAGCTAGCTATATGATAATATGACCATCAGATGGAATATATGGATTATACAGCTTATCTATGTAAGGAAATAACGATAATATGTAATTTATGTCGATTTCATGGTTTTGGGCTTTCTTAGACGCATTATACCTATAATCGTAGTGTTTATGAAAACAAATGGTAAAACCTTGTCTCTTTTTGTTATAAGAAGTGCATTCTCAAAATAAATATAAGGTTATGTGAAATTTACTCTTTGTCAACGTTGCTTTACATTGTTTTAAAAATTGAAGCAGTTTTAAATAGTGAAACATAACTGAACACATTGGGTACTACCCACAAATCTGATCAAATTAACTAAAATATAGCCCCTCATTTTCCAAATATCAGATGCTGTTAACTTTATTATGTTTGTCGACTATTTATGTTATTAAAAAAATCTATATAAATATCATTTATTTTTTATGTGACTTGTTTTATCAATAAAGGTATTTTAAGATAACTTAATTTTCATATTTGCACTAATTTTTTTAATAAGAGGAATGGTAAAATATATGTTGAAAAGTCAATAGCATCACATATTTAAAAACGAAGGGAGCAACAGAAAAGCTCATCATCGGATAATTAATTATTTTCCAAAATACATTTCCAAGCTTGATCTGAGTAATAATATACATAAACTTAATTCCATTGAGTGGTACATCCTCTGTTCGAAAATAAATAAACCTAATACGAGTTGTGAAAACATAGCACTACAAATCTCAATATAAGTTATGTCCAAATTCATAATATTAAGATGTCACATTTCGTATTAGATTGGTTTATTTTAAAATGGAGGAGTTCGAGCAGTAGCTAGTTAGACCCTTAGCTCTGCAAGGTACATATCATACATACATGTGCAGTTAACCTTGCACGCTCATCTGTTTAACCAACTTATCTTTATGATGATCGAGTAATAATGCAAGCATATGTTGACAGCACGTTTGATGCCGGACTTGACAATATGTCAAATCTGAGTTAATTATTTGATCGATCGATGATGCCCCAAAGGTGCACGCGGTGCTGATAACAACAACAATTTTGTTGCGTGAACCGTCCATATATGTCACACGGTTTAGAGAATAGTATTTGGTTATATTTGGAGAAGTTTAGAGTACTTTCGTTTTTTCCTCTTCTAGTTTGAGCAAGCAGTTTTGTCATGTCAAGAGCTTAATTAATTAGTTATAGCTAGGATGGTGATGCACCTGCGTCCACAGGTTTCGTTATCTCGAACCTATATTAGGGTTGGGTTAATTTGTCCGTACCTAGCAGCGTATGGACACTTCTTTCATGCTTATGGTTGGCCAAAGGAATACTTTCAGCGTATGGAAGTAACTTGGTTGCATATATGCTTCGATAACTGTTTTAGACACGCAACATATCACTTTACAGGTTACAAACATTGCATGCATACAGATTCTCTTTCTGTTCATTGGCATGCACGTGTCAATTTTTGTACAAAGATATTGTTGCTCAAACCTTTCTCTTCTACTAAAACAAAATACACCTTTATATTCTGAAATAGGGAAAAAGTCTATTTTTCTCCCTAAGCTATTTTATTGGATCACCTAATACTCTAAACTAAGCTGGTTTTAATAGTTTGGGGTGTTAAATAATCTAACAAAATAATTCCAGCGAGTAAAATTGATTTCTTGGAAGAGGGACTACTGGAGAGCGCTGCAATTTCTTTTTTATTGAAAACATCTCAGTAGAAGAATAGTTCTTGAAGAAAAAAACAAGAAAGAGAGGTCATCTTCTCCCATTTCCAATTTCAGAAACGGCAACATAGAAGTCCTCAAGATAAGAGATGCATTAACGTCAACTAATTAAATACAAAAACGACGTAACAAGATGCTATTGAAGTTAGATATCTAGATCGATGCATGGCAATCGAAGTATTAGAACAAGCAATCAAGCATGGTCTAAAAATACTTTGTACATGTCCTCTAGCTTTCACCCAATCTATTTCATCATTCTACTGATTATATCTACATGTTATTTTTCCCTATATATGCGCCCATTCCATCAGGCGACCATAAGGGGGTACCTTTCTTTTTCCTTCAAATGACCATATGCTAGCTCTTAAATTATATGATCAGGAAATTAATTAACACCACTTGGTAACTAATATATTTGTTTTCAACTTTTCATAACATTTTTTTCCCTGCTAATATATTTCCGATCGATATCATCGGAGAGGGTTCTACTTCTAACTTATGTTATGGGACAAGGGCATTATGGTCATTTAACAATAATAAACTAACATAATGGCCTAATGAAAGTGAGAGGAATGAAAGGAATTTTCTGAATGGTGTTTAAAAATAATAATATTATTTCATTGGCACTGGTACGGTACTGTCAGAAAAGCTGAAAAGAAAATCTCCAACCTTACATGCTTTTCCCTGCGTCTATATCTTTACAACACGGGCTAATAATCTCAAAATCCATAAGAAGGGGGAAAAAAGGCCAGAACCAAAACTAAGCCCATGCTTTCCCCCCATGAGGCTTCATCCAACCTAGGCCCAGGCCCATAAGGCCACAAACGATCAACCAGACGGCACAATTACTCGATCATGTCAGGTTTATTACAAAATTGGTTTGGTATTACAAATTTTTCTTTTAAAATATAATACAAACACAATTACTCGTATATACGCGTGCTTGCTCACTCTACGAACGTATACGCACACACACCCTATCCGTAATTCCGTATGAGCATATCTCGATATATCTTTGAGATTGAAGTTAATAGACTGTAAACAATTACATCGTCTACCACTAAAAAAATAATTAACCGTAAATGTAAGCACCTATTTTTCAAGTTTAAAATTTAAATCCAAGTTGGTAAGTTCAACATCAAGGAATGTAAACATATGTTGGGATATGTTTGGAGCAATACCAGATTTTACCACATTTTGGTGTAGTTTTAAGAGGGAAACCTTCTGGATTTACAAAATCTGTTTCGTTCTGAGGTTTAAAGTATGCTTGATTTATTGATTTGTTGTCTTCCTAAATTTTGGTGTGATTAAAAATGACAACCAAACTTTGTTATGTTGATGACATGATAGGCATCAGCAGAACTGTAAAACAGACATATTTTAATCAATCAATATTAAAATATAGGATGAGTTACTTAATAGTAGGAGTTTCATCGTCTTGCACCGTTGCACGATGACACAGTGAACGCCCTTATAGTAGTAAGTTGTTTCGTCCTATTTTCATTTGGGGATTAACAGTTTGGGGATTCTGATTAGTCACAGGCCCAAAGTGCACAAGTACAACCACAGCATTCTATTTCTGCAGTACTGTACAATCTACATCCTATTTTCACAAGATAGTACAATTTACTTCCTCCATTTCCCTGCATTTTGTCACTATTATTGACTAGTACTATTTAAACATTAACAACTATAAGTTTAAAATATCATAATACAGTGAATGTAAGTTAGGTAGCTGTATTTTTCGTGCAACATAATTTGATACAGCAGCATAAATGTTTTTTCAAAAATTATTTATAAGAAAAGAGTGGTCAATGTTTGAATGGGAACAAAGCAACAAATACTATGAAGAAATAAAATCCTTTTTCTCGAAGAAATATCAAGAAACGAAGGAAGCATATACAACTGCATATGAGCACATAGATGCAGGGTCAGCATGGCCAAAACTGATCTTAGATTTTTCTTCTTTGCACAAGTCATGACTGTATATAGCAAAAATAAACATGTTTGTTGGTCATTTCAGTAAAGTTGTCCAAGAGTATATGAAAATTTAATCTAAGTGTACTCATTCTTTTTATACAGCAATAATTGAGTCCATGCTTCTTGATCAGAACATTTGCAGTTATGTTTTAGCTAAACTGATGTCAATCTTCAGGTCAAAACCAACCAAAACCATTATTTTCCCCTCCTAATAAATGAATAGAACCATGTTGAAGCATGCTGAGTTTTACACTAAAACACGATTCCCATGCAAGAATGCACCTGTGCAAAACAGTAATGCAATATAAGAAATGGTGAACCATAGCTCTTTGAGCTGCCTAGGCGTCTAGCCATACCACATGTTGGGCTAACCATTATCATCAGTTTCATCTGTGACTACCCAAACCATAAGGCCATCTCAGAAAGTTACACATTGGATAATATTTGGGAAAATTCCAGCTGATATCTCTATTTTGAAGAAAGAAATTTCACCAAATCAATAATTAATCACATACATCCTTTGACAGGTTACGACGAAAGAATATTGTTTTTGGACTTCTGATGTTCACAAGCATAGTTAGGTACTTAGGCTTGATCCCCAATTGACCTTATTGGATAATTTCGTTGTGGTTTACAAGAGAATATATTTTTCTTGCAAAAGAGCTCCAACAGCGATAACACAAACATTGATCATTGTAAACACCAATGGTGTCCTAAGAAATGGTTCTTAAAAATGAGTGGCGTTTTGTGTGATTAGAATCTTTCAATTGAGTATCATCAACATTGCAGAAACTGCAGTTACAAAGTACAAAAACTTAAGTGTCGAACATGAGATTGCTTTATGGGAGACTATGGAGCACTCCATAGTTCCCATGTTCATGTATGAGAAACTGGCAATTTTTTTATAAAGAGATTTTTTTTTCAAGAAAAGAGAGAGACAGAGGCACCAGACAGGCTAAAGGGAATAATATCTAGGCACTGAAAACAGGAAACATCATTATTCTTTCCTTGACAAGATACTGTACTATTGTCTTCCATGGTTTGATGTGAATTTATGTACCTATAGAAACTAAGGGCTTTCCAAATAAAAATAAAAATACAGAAAGTGAGTTTTTAGAATTTCGTCTTTGCAAATATTTCAAAACTGGCATATCTCTATCAGCATTTCTGATAGAGATATACCTGTTGTACAGATATTGGAGAGTGTCAGTACTTAGTGCTTACAATGAATGGTTGTACTTTTAAGGCAATGCTAAGGATGGCAATAGGTATGTCTTTAGGTGAAGAAAGCTAGTAAAGAATAGGTTAGTAAATCAGTAGGCACAATAGAAGTAGTTAGTCTACTGCTGGCAATATTTCTTCACAGGTCATATGTGTATTATGTACAAGCGACAGATAATCTAACAGAATAAAAATATGGTGGACTAATTTCTTAAAAAAAAGTAGCTCCTTTCCTAGCACTGGAACTATGAATATTTTTCCAGCAGTATGAGGAACAGGGAAATTCGCTAAACAAGTGCATGACAAACAGATTAATGAATACAACCTTCTCTGAGACTCCACCAGCAAAACAGTAGTGAAAAGGGTACTCTATCTCAGCCCCTTTCAACAAAAGAACATTTTCCTGCATCTCATCTCAAATGAAGTCTAGCATCACACTTATGTATGAATTTGATCTATATCTACGTTATCCCAAATAGCACAAGAACTATTTTATTATTCAGTGCATATTGAAACAATATTGTACATATGAAAGATACGTTACCTGAACAAAATTATATATTCCAGGGCTAAGGCTGTAAAGGCCTAAGGCTAATAGAAGAGTATTTGATCCAAACGTTTGCACAATTGAAGAGACACCTATGAACAGAAGAACAGAGATGCGCACACAGTTATACATGATGTGGTCAAAACTGTTCTTTGGATTCGCAAACTCACCACCGCGGCGATAGTCAATCATGGCCACACCGTGACCACTGACACTACATGCCGATCCTTGCCCTCGTCAAAGGGCAGGAAGACATACGAGTTGGCGAATTCGTTGTAGATCTCCCCCGTGAGCTCCCCGTGAAGCGCGCGGCAATGCATATAGAGCACAACGTTGATCACCATTCCATAAAGCATCAGAACCACCAGCACCGCCGTTCCGACCACCGCCTTCACCACCACCGGCGCCATGCCGGCCCACCCAGCACTGGCATCATAGGTCTCCGCGGCCACCCCACCAAATCCCCATAGCGTGACCCCTATCCCGGCGCCGAACACCAAGAACGCAGAGAGCGCGGCGAGGCGCGCGCCATTGAGCAGCCGGCAGCTCTGCCGCAGCGGGGACACACAGGCGCTGGACTCGACGACGGCGGCGGCGCCGGCGAGAGACCAGAATGGGACTAACAGGAGGAGGCCAAGAACGGCGAGGGCGGCGGTAAGCGGGAACGGGAGCGGGAGGAGCGGGAGAAGCAGCAGCGGCGCTGCGGGGAGCGCCGTCAGGAGGAGGCGGAGGAGGGACGCGGGCACGGAGAGCAGCGAGGCGAGCAGCTTGACGGGGCGGCCGAAGAACCCCGCGTGCGCGCTGGCGGCGGCGGCGGCGAAGGCGGCGAGGTAAAGGAGCGCGGCGGCGGCAACCAGGGCGAGGAGCGGGAGGGGGAGCGCCGGCTGCGGCGTCGTAGTAGAGCGGAGCGAGACGGAGGGGGAGACGGGCGGGAGGAAGGGAGCCGGGAGGGAGAGGAGGAGGAGGGAGAGCGGGAGGAGGAGGAGGGACGAGAGGGCGAGGAAGTGGCGGGAGTGGGCGGCGATGAGGCGGCGGGTGGCGGCGGCCGCGCCGGCGAGGAGGTCCGGCCAGGGGAGGACGGCCGGCGACGGATCGGGCCGCCACGGCGGGAGGGGGAGCGGGCTCGCCGGCGGGAGAGACGGCGGCGGCGGCGAGTCCATGGGTGGATTGGGAGGAAGTGAAAGCGTGTACGGAAGAAAATGGGATGAGGTCTGGAATGTTTTTTTTGCTGATTTGGGGGCACGGTGGCCCTGTACTACTGTAACTTTTTTTTCCTTTTTTTTTTTGTTATTTTTGGCGATTTTATTTATTTGTGCTACTCATCAAATTCGGGTTTAGGTTAACCCAATGAGAAAATTATGGTTCAAATAATCTTCGATACACTGGCTAGTTTGTTACAATGCGAAGAATATATATAATAATATAAAAAAGCTTCCCGTCGGTCGTGTGACTATGCATCTTTTCAACTAGCGCTCCGCTACTCTCTAACCCACTTTTTTTTCCTATTTTTTTCTCTCGATTTTAGATGTACGCATCGCTGCCGCTATATGGTCATTGCTAGTGGATGGTGTACCTGTAGGTAGTGGTTGGCATGGGAGCTTTCGGAATATGTACTGGTGCGGGCCATGGTGCTGGCCAAGGTGCTCGGTGCCACACGGTGTGGCCTTGCATTAGTCGTAGCTGTATGAATTCTATACCGTGCGCTATGGCACGATGTACCTCTATGCTCCAACGGAGGAGGGAGAAGGCCAACTGTTGTTGAGCCAGAGATTGGGCTATTGGAGAGGACGAAGAAGCTAGATCTAGGTAGTTTATTTATTTATTTTTTAATATTTCAACCAATATATGTTACATTTGTGTAGAAAAATATTTCAACAGGCAGCAAAACAGTGCTGCATTTGTTTGAAACATATAATTTTTATTTATGTTTCGACCAATGTGTCTTTGATATTTCACGTGTGAAAAAAAATGTTTTAACTAAGTTTAGACAATGTTGTATTGTTTGAAACATTTTTATCTAGTGATGAAAAATTTCTATACAAGTAATGAAAAAGTGTCTGGATTTTCTCCAAAACTTGGACGTCCGATTTATAGTCGCGTCAGGATAGAAATTATTTTGGAGAGGTTGGCCAAATGAAAATATGACTAACCAATTCAGAGAATTCTCTAGAAAATGTTATAATGTATTTTTTGACTAGTTGACATGTTCTAGGCGTCAATTAGGCACTGTGCACTACCCAACCGCCTGACTAGCTCCAATTCTCCCAATTCATAACCATGACAAGTTTAACAACAATCGATATATACGGTTAGAGTTAAGATCCACCATGATCAAATTGTGTGCATATCTTTCTGGAGAGAGCTACACGTCGGATGTCCGAAAATTTGCGAAATATCGGACGATGCTCCGCATGCCCCTCTGCCCCTGCTGTTGTGTTGCATGCACTGCTAGCTCGCAAGTAGCCACTGCCACATAGCAACTAGCATGCCTCTTGCTCACATGCAGGGTTGTTTGACCATCATTGCTATTTTTTTCTCTCCCCATTTTCTTATATATACGTACTTATTCATTACATATCTTTACACAATATTTTCTTTTAAAAATACATATATGATGCATGATCAAATTAGAATATTATATTTGTCTTAATTAAATCGTTAGAATAATATATCACATTGATGAAATTATATATATAGTCAACCATTGTTTCACTATTTATATAAAATTGTTTCATCGCATGAAAAAAAATGTTTCAACTCACTTAATAAATATTTTATAGAGATGCAACATTTAAAAGAATTGTTTCATTATTTATATAAAATTGTTTCATCGCATGAAAAAAATGTTTCAACTCATTTAATAAATATTTTATAGAATGCAACATTTAAAAGATATTGTCTGCAACCATGATAACAATTAGACGAAACATTAAGTTCTATGTTATAGCATGCATCAATCATCAAGGTATAGTTGTTGAAAAATAAAAAATATTGCTGAAACATTCAAAACACCAACATGTGCAACATTTACAAATTACAAAGTGAACACCATGAAATACTTATTGCAACATCTAATTAACACTACGTGCAACATTTAAGACTGCAACAAACTAAAAACCCATCAAAACATTATCAAGTGAGATCTTGTTATAAAGATATAATCGTAATAAATCCAACCGTGTAATTAGACTATAGATCGGATGAATAGTTGAATAGACAAAATCATTTGAATTTTGGGATTTAAATGAGTGGCCGACTGCTTCTTCAGACTGTATGGTCATGGGTCCATGACGTCATGCCGCACAACTAACGCTGATGATGTGGTTAAATTTTCATCAGACGGCTAATTATAAGCATTTCTGGAATCAGCATCTTACAAGTTTGTCCGATGTTTTGGTTCCGCCCGGACGACCGATCTGAAGCGTTTTCCTATCTTTCTTAAACAATAGCTCCACAAGAACTACCATTTCCTTCCATTTCCATAGCACAATAGCATAAAGAGAGAACATCAGCGATCATGTAAAAATGCCATTTACAATGACATCGTTGGGTCCGTCTGGATCGGGGATCGGTGCGCAGCGGCCCGATGGCGTTGGGCCGCAAGACGGGCCATGCTGCAGCCCAGCCCTACGGCCCTACGAGGTTGTGCCGTTGTGGGCCCTGTGGCAGGTGATGGTCCGTGGTGTTCTGCGCGTGTGGCCCAGCCCTGGTCCCTGGATGCCAACGTTGCTCCAAAATTATTTGGTATTGGAATAAGTCCATTTTACCTCCCTCATCTGTTGCGCTTGCGTGAATAACATCCCTCAACCGGAAAACCGGGTATAATGCCTCCTTCTTCTCTGAAACCAGAGCAAATCACCTTCCTCGGCGGTTTTGTCCTACGTGGCACTTACGTGGCGGGTTGACTTCCCATATGGCATCGATGTGGCGCTTATGTGGCACTAAAATAAAAACAAATGTAAATGGGACCCACATGTTAGTGAGTAAAACAATAAAATAAATAATTGGGCCCACATGTCAGTTACCTTTCTCCTTCCTCTTTATTCTCACGGCGAGCGAGATGGAGACAGCTCTGTGAGCCCGGCAGCGGCGAGACGGCCTCATCGACCTCGCCGCCGCCTCTTCTTCTCCCTCCCCGCTGGTGGACGATCTCGCGGGTGTGGCGTTGGTCGGCGGCACATGTCCTCGGCGTCACCGGCATCCTGCCGCTCCACCGGGCTCCCGCCTCCGGCGGTCTCGCCGCCCCGTTGCTCCCGCTAAGCTCCCGCCGTCCTGCCGCCGCCATCTCGCTCACTGTGAGGATAAAGAGGAAGGAGAAAGGTAACTGGCATGTGGGCCCAATAATTTATTTTATTGTTTTACTCACTGACATGTGGATCCCATTTACATTTATTTTTATTTTAGTGCCACATAAACGTCACGTGGAAGTCAACCCGCCACGTAAGTGCCACGTAGGACAAAACCGCCTCCGAAACCGCCGAGGGAGGTGATTTGCCCTGGTTTTCAGAGAAGAAGGAGGTGTTATACCCGGTTTTATGGTTGAGGGATGTTATTTACGCAAGCACAAGAGATGAAGGAGGCAAAATGGACTTATTCCTTTGGTATTTTCCCTTATGGGCCGTGTAGCTCCATCTCCCATAGGCGTATGTCATCATTTTTTACTGTAGAGTTTCCTACCCAATCTCATTTCTCACATAACCCTTCGGTGTGAACTGGGAAGAGATAAGGCTCCCAACTCACCCCTCTCAATTTTCGCGTGCACACTTTTCAAACTGCTAAACGGTGTGTGTTTTTTTAAAAAAATCTATAAGAAAGTTGTTTTAAAAATATATATTAATCTATTTTTCAAAATACTTAATTAATCGTGCAATAATACATACTTCGTTTTGCGTATCGGGGAGGTGACCCCTCCTCCCGAACACAGCCAAATCGGTATAAAGAGTTCGGTCCAATGTTACTTTGTTTCTTCAATACAGTAACAATTTATCACCATTAATTGCTATGTAGATGTTAGTTTTTTCGAATGGTTTTGTTAACTTTATGCAGTATATTCCGAATGAATTTCTCCATATTCAGAATACTGCATAGGAGTAGGCACACTACCTAGCCAGTACCGCGGGCAACTGCCACTGCGAGTGGATTCGACGGGGCGGCCGCCGACGTCATGGAGCCAGCGGTGCGTACGCGGCTGCTTGGGCCTCGGCAAGGCGCGCTGAACATGCGTACCGGTGCCCAAGCACGCAAGGTAGTAAATAGTAGTTCTCGTAGGGGACGCTAGCTACGCTAATGCGTACCAGCCCCATAGCATGTTACAACTTTAGCGGCCGTTGTTTTGATTTAGCACCATAGAGTGATCTACCCATAACTAATGATGACCTAACAAATGAAAGCAGATACAATAGCAGAATATAAATCATCCATAAACACATATTGATAAGAACAGCGGCGAGCTACAGATTTATAGCCAGCTGCAGCACAAACTATATGGGACAATGTGTGTATGGTAGGTGGGACCATGTATTACTAGTGTAATATATGTAACTATTGTATGAATTAGCTATTATATTAAATTGACTATAGATGATTTGGAGCTAGTAGTTGGCTACACTATTAAACTTGCTCTGATGAGTTCATTAGTTGTTTTGTCTCTCAAATTAAAACTTGTATTCTTGTGTGTCATAACATCTAATGATAAGAACATATCGGGCCGGTTCACTTTGATGCTATTTTCAACCTTACCAAATTTTGGTAAAGTTGCCAAAAAAATGGCTACATTTAGTTTACGGCCAAATTTTGGTAACTATATAAGAAATCCTGCCAAAATTTTGGCAATGCCAAATTTTGGTAAGGTTTTTTTTTAGTAAATTTCACAAAACTACATACACTTTAACCAAATTATCGCAAAACTATAGATTTAAGGTCGTATATCATAGAACTACAGATTTAGCAACAAATTTATCACAAAACTACAGGTTTAAAACTACTATCACAAAACTACATATTTTAGAATAAAATTATCACAAAACTACATATTTTAGGATTTAAATCCTTTGCACTAATGTGATGTTTGAGTTATAAATATCCAAATTTTGTGATTAAATTGACATTAAACCTGTATGTTTGTGATAACTTTGTTACTAAAGCTGTAGTTTTGCGATATTTTAACTTAAATATGTAGTTTTGTGATAAAATTAGTGTTAAATCTGTAGTTTTGTGATATATCATGTTAAATCTGTAGTTTTGCGATAATTTGGTCAAAGTATCTGTAGTTTTGTGAAATTTACTCTTTTTTTGGCATCAAAGTGAACAGGCCCATCATGTTTATTTCTTAATTTAATATAAGTTGTAATGTGATATTAACTCTTTGAGTGCTACTAAATACATACTTATTCTCATAGGTTATATGTGTTTTGATCTATCACTAATTCAACTCAAATTTATGTGTGATTATTAAATGCTACTATTAGAACTTAGTGTTCGCTATCCCCGATCCGCTACATGGACACTAATCCACTACCAATCTTTTATATGCTATTTATTACCTTGTAAGCACAACGCCCAATCTTCGTGTGATGTTATATGAGACTTTAGCATGATAGAAGCACCGCCACCGTCATCTCCACTGGTTAGCCGGGAAGCTGCATCAGTCGTCGCCACCGAAAGAACTTGCACCAGAGCCTTGTCCCATGCCATGCAGTGGGAAAGAGGGAGGGAGGGAGGGGGGTGTCCGTTTCCTTTCTTCATCGCCGGCACTACGCGTGGCCGCCTCAATCCACCATCGTCATCACTATAGTCCATGAAGAGATAGGCACGTTGGCGCGATAGAGGCACTTCCCTCGAACTATGCTGATAGCGACGGGAATGGCAATAAGGTGCGTTGGTGGCTGTGTACCTAACAAATTGGCTTCGATGGTCCTAGTGGTGGCAACATGTGGGGGAACGGCTGATTTACGGTTCTGTTACCGTCCGACGATATCTTCTGCTTCGGTTTGAGATTACTTGTTGACAGCGATTGTGTGAAATTCGATCAACCCCAAGATCGGCCTTGATTTTAGACATTTTGTTTCCTAATTTGAGAAAAGGACTGAAAAACAACAGTTATGCAGATATTTGCTATATGTAGATGGAAGTTTGGCAATATGTGTTATCTTTATCTTTATACCGGTGTTCTAGCTAACTTTTTAGCTATGATTTTGTAATTCACATAGTCATCGTTCAACCTGCAAGCTTTATAATAATTGGTTGTAGTTTCTCTGAATCAATGGCTAGAATTAACACTAGTACAAAACAACCATTGGTGTCAGTTGAAAACTGGTCATAGGTGCCGGTTGGGAAACCGGCACCTATTCCTGAGATTATAGGCACTGGTTCATTACTAACAATCGGCACCTAGGACCCATATGCAAAAAAAAAAAGGCTCGACTGCTCAATCAATGCATTGGCTCAATTGAGCCATCAACATACCATCACCCACATCAACATCCCCAAAGCATCAACACAGAGAACACATCCCAAGCCATAACATCCCCAAAGCATCCCGAGCACCACATCCAAGAACACATTAATCATCAACATCCACGTACCATCATCCATTCATCGAACAACACAGAGACATCAAACATGCACAGATCAGCATCCAAGAACTGAAAAACACATGGATATGAAAATAAGATAACGAAACTGTCGAGGAGGACGCACGGATCAGAGCTACCAGCAAACCGACGTTGGGAGATCATCCGCCGCGCCGTTGTGGAGGCTGCCCGCCACATCCCGTCACCGATGAGGCCGCCCGCCACCCACCAAGCCCCGTCAGAGGGTAGGCCGCCCGCCACCAACCAGGCCCCAAGGAGGGGAGGCTGCACCTTGCCACCATGGAGGCTGCCCGTCGTCCGCGAGCCTCCTCCACCACTGCCGCCACTGGTGGCGCAGCTGCTGCCACCGGATCTGGTGGGGGGGGGGGGGGGGGGGAGGGGGCGGGGATACGAAAGCTAGAGGGAAAGGTAGCGCTATGGAAAGGATAAGAGCGAAGGAATAAGAACGAGGGGTAAAAAAACCATCCATCCAACATGTGGCTCGGCTCAGCTGGTATATTAGTACTAATATATTATAGGTGTCGGGGCACCTATATTATGTTATAGGTGCCGGTTCTTTAAAAAAAATGTACCAATAATTCAAAGGTGCTGGTTCTCTATTTTTTTAACCCAAAAACAGTGAGGGAGGGCCCCACGCTACATGGAGTATGGGCTCCAAGATTCAAATTGAGTATATACCTAATTTGAATGAGTATGAAATTTTTTTAAATGTTTAGATATGAACATTAACTTCTTTACTAACAAGTTCAAACATGTTTGAACTGAGTTTGAACTTTTTTTTTGTTAGATTTTGGTTCTAGATATATAACATCCAAACATATAATTCGTTAGGTATGTAATAATGAATTATGAAATAAAGTTGAGTTTGAGTTGTTTTGTTGTTAGGTATTTGTATGAATCAAATTCATATACCTAGGTATATACTCACAATTTGAAAATTTTTTAAAATTTGAGAGAATTTATGTGTTTTATACCTTGTAGCCCGGGCACCATGGAATCCCATATGGGTATCATATATATATATATATATACATATATATATATATATATACATACATATATATATATATACATACATATATATATATATATATACATACATATATATATATATATACATACATATATATATATATATATACATACATATATATACATATATACATATATATATATATACATACATATATATATATACATATATATATATATACATACATATATATACATAGACACACACACACAAAATAAGGAGAGCAGAAAATATTTACAAGGAAAAAAACAAAACAAAAAATAAAAAAGTTACAACAGGTCAATCCATGATTGAACTAAAGACCTAATGGATTCCTTGAACCTAATAAAATGTAGGTTCAGATCAGACTTCAGGTTGCTCTTCCAACTTGAGATAGAGGGTTGAATACCTTGGAAAATTAATCTATTTCTCTCCTTCCAAATGTTCCAGGCAGCACGAAGAAACAAATCCATGAAAGCTTGGTGCGGCAAAGACGAACGAAGGTTATGAAGCATCTGATGAAACTCTAAAGATGAATTCCAGCACCATCCCAATTTAGTCCAACAAGCCTTACTAAATGCACAATCAAAGAACAATTGCTCCCTGGTTTCTCTGACATTATTCAAACAGATAGAACAAGATAAAGAAGCATTCAAGGGTGCGCAATGTTTTCTATCAAGAAGATCTCGAGTGTTCACTTTGTCCATAAGAAGAAGCCAACCAAAGACTTTGATTTTCATGTTCACCTTGCTTTGCCAGATCCACTTGAAGGTCACAGGGGACGACAGAGACCAGAGACAAAGCTTATAAAAACGATGAGAAGTGTAGTTTCTTGTTCCTCAAATGTACTGCCTAGTGTCATTGCAATCAGACAGAAAGACTGACTGCATATCTATAAGCATCGTATTATACTCCTCATAAGCTTGCTGAGAGAGAGGAAGATGAAACTGATCTTGAGGGTCCCTTGCCATTAGTGCTGCAATTGAGTCCTCCTTATGTTTAGCATAAGAGAACAATCTTGGATATTTGGATGAGAGCACCATTTTCCCACATGTCTTCCCAGAAAAGAATGTCCTTCCCAGAACCTAAAACATGCTTTGCAATTCCTCTGAAAATAGTGTCATACTGAAAGACAACTTTCCACCAAAAGGAGCCACAACTTTTTGCAATCCGGGGCACTTCATTAGGATAGAAGGAAGATCATATCAAATTCACCCAAGGGATATTTGCCCTACCAAAGAATTTATGTAAATGTTTCATGAGAAGAGCTTTATTCTGAACTTTCAGATCGATGACACCTAACCCACCTTTGTCCTTTAGCTTACAGACTTTAGACCAAGCTGCTAGAGACTTGGAAGAATTCAGATCATTACCTCTCCACAAACAGTGCCTTCTGGCTCTGTCTATCGAGTCTATAACAGATAATGGCAGAGACAGAGTACACATATAATATGTTGGAAGGGAAGACAAAACTGAATTCACCAAAGTTAGCCTATCCCCATAAGAGAGAAAAGAAGAGCTAGTTGTCAATCTTCTCTCAATCCTGTCAGTGAGTGGTGAAAAATCGACCACTTTTGGGTGAGTTATGCCAAGAGGAAGACCCAGATATGTGAAAGGGAGAGTACCCAGAGAACAGCCAAAAGTAGAAGCTAGCAACTGTGCTTTCTCATCTGACAAATTTAGAGGGATCATACAAGATTTAGAAAAAATCACCTTTAATCCCGAGGAGAGAGCAAATGAGTTTAAGAGTGCCTTAAGAACAAAAAGCTGAGTAGCAGAGGCTTCCAAGAAAATGAGAGTATCATTCGTATATTGAACCACTGGAAAGTTAACATCTGTATAAGCAGGAATTGGCATGGCCAGTAACCCTCTTTGATGAGCCTTGTTAATTATAGCTTGAAGGTGATCAGCGCCCAATGCAAACAAAAGTGGGGAGAGTGGATCACTTTGCCGAACACCCCGTTTGCATTTAAAGAATTTGCCAGGCACCCCATTAAGGAGAACTGCAGTTGAAGCAGAAGAAAAGAAGTTCTCATCCAATCATTCCATTGAGAAGGGAAACCCATAGCTGACATAACCTTTAGAATAACTTCATGCTCAATGGTATTAAAAGCCTTTTCAAAGTCCAATTTTAAGAGAACTATTTCCCTCCTTGAATGTTTACACTGATGGATGTATTCAAATGCCCAGGCCAGACAATCTTGAATTGATTTCTCTATTACAAATCCATATTGGTTTTGATGGACCAATTTTGTCATCAGGGGTTGCAGCATGTTAGCAAAAACTTTACAAAGAATTTTTACAGAAAAATTCATGAGGGAGATCGGCCTGAAGTCATTAGGGGATTGAGGACTAGGCTTCTTTGGGACCAAAGTTATATAAGAATAGTTGATTGCAGATAAGTCAATGGTACTTCCCCAGAAATCAGCACATCTATAGAAGTCCTGAGCAATTATTCCCTAGCAAGACTTAAAAAAACACCCATTGAAACCATCTGGTACAGGTGCTTTGCCACCAAGCATTTTTTTCACAATATCATCAATCTCCTTAGTAGATATTTGGGCACATAATATGAGAGATCCCCTTTGTCTTCTATCAACTCAGTTAGGTCGAAAACCATTTTTGGATTATCAGTAACCCCCATTCTATCCTTGAACACTTTCCAAAATATGGCAGCCTTTCCTTCATGATCACTCACCTGATTACCATTTGAGTCTTGTAGAGTGGAGATGGCATTATTTCTAAATCTTTCAGTGGCCATGGCATCAAAGAACTTAGTATTCTCCCCTCCAAGAAGAACCAATTTCTGTTTAAATCTCTGCTTTCAATATTTGTTCCTGCCAACTTAGGAGAGAGGCAACATGTCTTTTGACAATCAATCTGAATTTTAGCTCAGGAACATTCAACAAACGGAATTCTTCCAGTTTATCAAGAAACAAGATCACCTTGTTACAATTCTCTTAGTGTTCTTTATTTTTTCATCCTGCGGAGGTTGAAAAAGATTAATAGGTGCCGGTTTTAAATAAACTAGCACACCTATAAGCCAGTTCCTATGAGGATTTTTTGAAGTAGTGTAATTTCATTATGTTAAAAAAATTATAATCTCCAGCAAGTACATGTAAGACCAGAAAAAAACATTATATTATTGCCCTTGAGAATTGCCATGAGTAATATTAAGAAGCTAATAATTTACAACATGGCCATTTTCATTTTCTTGAATGGATAAATTTCAATATTTGCCATCCAATTGTTAATCCTGTTAGGAATTGCCACTCACTTGGCAAGTCTTTCAAATATTACCACTGGGTGTGTGATTTTTTTTCTTTTCTGCCACTCCATTAGATCGAGCGTGTCGTCAATCTCCTTTCAACTACGCTATCACTGGGAGCTGTCGCCATCGCCGTTGCTAATAGCTGCTCGTCTCCGCCGCCAAGATCGGTGTTGGAGAAGAAGACGAACAGGCTCAGTGTTGGGGAAGAAACGGACGAACCGATAGAGTGGCACAGAACGAAGAAATTAGTATAGACAAAATCCAAAAGACCTGTAAAGTTAGTGACAATTATTGAAAGGCCTACCAATTAAATGGCAAATAGCAAGTTTTCTCTTATTCTGCCAGCGACATCTCGAAATGAGGATTAGGGTGTGTTTAGTGCGCGAAAAGAAAATTTTTAGATGTTACATCGGATGTTTGACCGGATGTCGAAAGAGGTTTTTGGACACGAATGAAAAAACTAATTTCATAACTCGCCTGAAAATCGTGAGACGAATTTATTAATACTAATTAATCCGTCATTAGCACATGTGGGTTACTATAGCATTTATGGCTAATCATGGACTAATTAGGCTCAAAAGATTCGTCTCGCGATTTCATACAAGCTGTGCAATTAGTTTTATTAATCTATATTTAATGCTTCATGCATGTGTCTAAGATTCCATAGACAAGGCATTAGCAAGGGTGAAGGTCTATGTCATTCCTTTATGTACATCCATCCGTTTTAATAGTGATTGAGACAGTGAAGTGACACCAAGGTTGTACTACTCTATAAATAATTTTATATGATTGCCGTTGACCTAAATTTAGGTCTTATTTAGTTCCCAACTTTTTCTTCAAACTTTTAACTTTTCCATCACATCAAAACTTTCCTACACACAAACATTCAACTTTTCCATCACATCATTCCAATTTTAATCAAACTTCCAATTTTGATGTTAACTAAACACACCCTTAATCACTTCGATCTGATGATGGCAATAGATACTGGGGAAAATATGTAGTGCAAACCATATATGTAGTGGAAACTTGGAAACTACCGTTGGATCGAGAAATGGATGTCCGAAATTCGTTCACGTCACCATGAGTTAAAATTTAACTCCCAGTAAAATTTTAACTCATAAGTGAATCTGCAAGTTAAATTTTAACTTATGGTGACGTGGACGAATCTCGAACGTCCATTTCTCGATCCAACGGTAGTTTCCAAGTTTCCACTACATATGTGGTTTGCACTGTATATTTAGATACTGTTGATAGCCGTCCCACTGTCGCAGGCACTAGGCTGACCATTCCAATATGAACCGTGCAATGTAGGCCCTGTTTAAAACAAAAACTTTTCACCCATCACATTAAATATTTACATACATACATAGAGTACTAAATATAGAAAAAAACCAATTACACAGTTTGCGTGTAAATTGCGAGACGAATCTTTTAAACCTAATTGCGCCATGATTTGACAATGTGGTGCTACAGTGAACATTTGCTAATGACGGATTAATTAGGCATAATAAATTCATCTCGCAGTTTCACGATGGAATATGTAATTTGTTTTGTTTTCAGACAACATTAAATATGTGTCCGTATATCTGATGTGAGACCCTAGAACAAATTTTTTTTTGCCAACTAAACCGGGCCATACTCTTTTATTTAGAAGCAAAAAAAATTCCTTATCAAGTCTCGCCAAATTAAATGTCATTGATGACTAATGCATGGTTTGGCCAAAACATCAACACAGAAAAGAGAAGAGCCAATGTATCATTATTATTGTAATTAACTAATGACTCACGGTTTGGCCAATCGTCAACATAGAATTAATTTCATATACTACTGCGTTAGGAGTAGTACTACTCCATCTTTTCCAAAATATATAAGCCACAATTATTTCTATTAGATGTTTCATAATATTAGACGTACATGCAAGTATATAATTAACTAGTACATCTTATATACTAAATTATTATTACTAGTGAGCGTGTACGTGTGCAAGGCACGTCAACATATATTGAAAGGAGTAAATTAATTGAGAAAAAAAAAACACCCAATGCATGTGAACCTTAATAAAATGATGATAATAGTTGGACTGTTAGATAGATATATACTTCTGTTCAAATACCGAAATTAAAGGAAGAGGTGGATATCAATCCCAAAATAAAAGGAATAGGTGGAAATCAATGTATCAAATAGTATATACAATGTTCATGAAGGCGAGAAACAATCAAACATGTGTAGTACGCATTGACCACAGAGGTCAGTTAGCAGAGTCTTGTACATAGCAAATAGAAGCAATCAACCTGTATGTGCATGTGCAAATATTTGCATATATGGAGCCTAGTCCTTGTAGAAGTTACCATCTATCGGCCTTCTTGTTGCCGGCGTCGCCATAATTACAGTTCCTGATCGATCAACCACATCCAAAACATCAATCCGGTGCAAATAAATTAAGCAGATGGTGAAGAAGAAGCGATGGATGGATGCATTACCAGATGACGGGGATGGCGCCCCGGCCGTAGCACTCGGCGCCCTTGACGCGGGGTATTGTAAGTTTATCTTGTCGCAGTAGTCCTCCTGGGGGCTCATCTCTGATTGTAGGAGAGCCCCACGCCGTCAGCCCTCCGGTTGCCAAACCCACTTGCACACACGCAATCCCCATCAATGGCGACCCAAAAGCTCAAGTTCAGCCAGAGAGAGAAGAGGGAAGTGGAGCCGACATGGCCGAGGAAGGCGTAGAGCTCCATCATCTGCATCTTCTTGCCTCTCGTGGTGCAGAAGCCGAGGGGAATCGAAGAGGGCGGTGGTGCCGTGGCGGTGATGAAGGCCCGACGGTTTGGAGTGTGGTGGGAGGGGCGGCAGCGGGGAGGGCACTGGTCCGGCATTGGAGGGTAACGACGGCCGAGAATCGCGCAGAGCGAGGAGGAGCAAGTGCAGCGGCGGATCCGCGCGGAGCAGGCCGCGAGTAGCGCGCGGCGTAGTAATCACGCGGGGGCGGAGTCATCGCGCGGTGGAATCGGTAGGCGGTACCGACAAGTGTGATGATGTGACGCGGGTGTGCTGTCGACATTAGTGCGATGGATAAGATGAGATTAGGGATGATGATTTGGCCTGTAGGATTGGATGGTAAAACTCCTCATTTTTATACTAGTATAGATTTTTAACTCTTTCACTCTCAAAATCTCCAATTCTATTGGGTACATGTATTGTATTTGTGAAATCATTGTCATGATTAATATTTGTGATGAATAAATTGGCTTTGCAAATGATTTAATCAATGAAGTGGTTTGAAAAGATGTGTGAATGTTGGTGTAAGTGCGTGTGACTAATGTGGGTCAGGTTGTGATACATGTGCCCAGAAACAATTGTTTTGTATAATTAGGAAGAAAGTCCGCATAGATGCGCGGGTAATTTATTTATTGTTTATAAAAAAACTAAAAAAAAGCCCTATACCACCATATTCACTTCCACTGTAAGTAATCGAACATAGATTTTAACATACTAAATTTTAATAATGTTCATCATATCCAAACAAAAAATCTTTTTGTCCTCATGTACCACAACTATTTGTTATCATTGTCTCAAATATGGATAACTTTGCATTTTCACCAAAAAATAAACCCAATTAATATTTAATACCTAAAAGTTTATCTCTACTTCATACCTCATGTCTCACATGTATCCAAACCTATATGTAAATATTTAAAAATACCACTTCTACTAATTAATTAATAGGATAAAAATCATTAAATTTATATATGAATGCCCCTCTAGTAACCGGTGAAGCTGACTATAGCCGCTAAGGCATTTTTCTCCAATGCCTTGACTCATGAGTCCTGCATTGATATAGTCGTGCTCCTCAAGACAAGTGTGGAGCACAACTTTATAAAGGATTGTATCGTTAAGTAGGCTAGTTGAGCTCTATTGTCAATGGTGACCTCTTATTCGGACCACTTCAGCTCAATAATGCGTACTCCTGCCATAGTTACTACAATGTAGCCACTCGAGATCCATGCTTGGCACCTTTTAGGGTATGGAGGTGATGAAAATATATTTTTTTATGTCTTGAGTCAACTTATTATATAGAGTATATATACATAATTTGTTTATGGTGCTAATTGATACATATATAATTTTCTCTTTTAAAAATTAGCAGGGTTGAATTCGACTCTACTTCAAAAAATCTAATAACTTCATTGGTGAGGACCACTTGAAAAAATATTTTCTCAAACTGTGATCCTTTGCTAACATACAAGTTATATAGGTTTTGGTTTTTTTTCTTGTGTTATACATCTAATTTACCTATGCATGTTCGTGGGGATTAATATTCGATGGAATTTGTTAAAATTATTTGCACTAATTGTTAACACTATTTGGATGAGAACGACACAAAAAGAGATATAATGTAGTTACATTTATGTTTTTTTTCTAGCAGATAGTAGTCTCTCATATGGACGTTTGTTTTTTTTCTTTTCGTACGAATATTTGTCTATCATAAGTATAGGGTGTACATATTTGTATGGCAAAATTTGTTATAGGGCACCCAAAAAATGTGTAATTAGCTGGGAGACACCGCAATAATGGGTATTTGCTATAGGGCACCACAAAAAACTGGTAATTAGCTGTTGGACACTCACCGGATTATTTTATTATATCCGGACGAATTGGAGAGAGAAACAACTTTGTAAGTACGGTTCTACCCTTCAATTTTTTTAATTCTTCCTTATTTTTTCTCTCTCCCTCATTCTTTCTCTCTCCGCTCCTTCAAGCGAACCCGAGGGAGAGCAGAGCTCTGGCGACGGCGCAGCGAGGCGTGGGCCGGTGCGGCGCCTCGGCTAGGGCGACGCTACAAAGTCATGCGCAGGGGCCGGTGCCGGCACGATGCGGCGGAGGTTGCACCAGAACGCGACGGGGTTGTTCAAGGTGGAGGTGACGGTCTCCGGCGAGGTTAGGCACCAGGCGCACTACACCAAGTGCAAGCTCGCCGCGACGTGCCCACTCAGGCCCCCTTTGATTCAAAGGAAATTTATAGGAATTTTAGAGGATTTTATTCCTATAGGAATTTTTCCTACAAAGCCCTTTGAATCAAAGGAATTAACTCTATGGAATCCTATGAAATTCCTATGGAATGCCTCTTCCCATACAAGTTTTGGAGGAATTTTAACAAGAGGTAGAACCTCATGGAAGAAATCCTTTGAGTCTTTATCTCTCCTCAAATTCCTGTGTTTTTCCTGTGGTCCAATCAAACGGCAATTCCTATGTTTTTCCTGTGTTTTGCAATCCTCTGTTTTACACTTTCATTCCTATCAGAATCCTATATTTTTCCTATTCCTCCGTTTTTTCATTTCTGTTATTCAAAGGGGCCCTCAAGGTGCAGCTTATGCCGCCGGTGGTGGTGTTCCAGAAGGTCAAGTGCAAGCTTGCCGCCGCCAAAAAGAACTGCTAGTACCCTTTTATTAGGGAGAGTCTTATGTACTCTTGTTCGGATTTTTGGCTGTGTACACCCCACAAAGGTGTAGAGGCCGGGTTTGATAATCCTTTATCTAAAAAAAAGAACTGCTAGTGCTAAGCTTGTCGTGCGCGTCCCCATGGCTGTGCCTATCTTTGCTAGTGATTGCACGATTGATTTGTTTGTTCCTCTGGTTGAGTTTGTGATTCAATTCCTCTCTGAATTTGTGGTGGATTTGGAGGAATTGCACTATTGCAATGTTTGATTCAATTCAATTATCTGATGATTGTGGAAGGGGAGTTTCTCCTCTTTATTTTCTCTCCCTCATTCTTTCTCTCTCTCTCCTATTTCTTCAAGCAAGCCCGAGGGAGAGGGAGAGCACCGGCGCGGGCCAGTGCGGCGCCTCGGCTGAGGCTGCACTGCACGGTCGTGCGTAGGGGTCAGGGAGCTTACATATGGGGCTCTGCGACGTGGACGGCAACCACCTGTTCCTGGTCGATGTCGCGGCGGCCGGAGCCGCTGACCTCGCCGATGTCGTGCCTAGGGTCGCCCGCCACCGCCAGGCGACGACTCCGGCCGGGTTTGGTTCGACCGGACCCAAGTCGGGGATAGATGGTGAGGCGCAGGGGCACTCCGGTCATTTTAAAATAAATCTCACCACTTTCAGCTCGGAAATGATAAAAAAAATACGTTCAGTGTCTTACGGCCAATTATACAACTTTTGTAGTGTCCATGGACAGTGTTACGTTTTTGCGGTGTCCCTCAGCTAATTACATGATTTTTGAGTGTCATGTAGCTAATTTTGCCTATTTGAATTGATAGTGTGCGTCTACACGTATTTATATGAGCTCCTATAATTGCCTCTTACATTGTTAGTAAAAAGGTACGTTTAAAAATTTGACGGCAAGGAGGAGCAACGGGTGGCCTGAGGTGGCACCATAGCACGACTTCTTTTACCAGCTAAGAGTGGTGATTATGTATATGCTCAGTTTGGAAAAACAGAAAACTATCAGATGGGACAGATCATTTACACACTCTTTTTTTTTCTTTTTATATATCTTACGGATGTACATACATAGGAGTTGTGCATGTACTTAAGGAGGGATTAGACGGTTTTTAGTCATAAGGATTATACTTTCATAGATCTAATTTAATGGTTGAAAATAATGGATCGCCGATTTTGAGTGTAAATTGATGAATAGTTGTTTTTCTTTTATTTTATAGTTTTCTTATATTCTCTCTAATTAGAGCGTCACATAACATCTTAGGAGCATTTTGTAGGAGTATAGAAATATTATTGCTTAGTCACAATCTATTTGTAGTCAACTATTATTTATGGTGGATTGGTGGCATCCTCTACCTACCTATCATCTGTTGATCATTGCACACTTAGTATTGCTCTTTATCTTCAGTGCTTCATGACCTACATGCTCATTAGATATTAGCTAACCATTAGGTGCATTGTGCACGGATATCTCATATGTAATATGACTTGGTGATTAGTAAATAGTGACTTGTATATAAAATTTACATATATGAGGATCAGGGAGGACATGAGATTGATATTTTAGGCTAGGATTGACTAAGTATATTGCATACTACATATTAAGTTTTTAATACCTAAATAATAAATTTAAGACAGTGTTATAAAATGCTCATAGGATTCTAGTCCCTATTTATAGCGAGTACGTTTCTCAAACTACTAAACGGTGCATTACACAGTACGTACGTGTTTTACAAATACGTTTTATATAAAAGATTTTTTAAGCGAGTACGTTTCTCGAACTACTAAACGGTGCATTATACGCGGTACGTGGTTTATAAATACGTTTTATATAAAAGATTTTTTTAATAAATCAATTAGATTCATTTGTGTTTTTTAATATTCAATGCACAATTAATCATATGCTAATGACCCGTATCATTTTGCGTGTCCTGGATAAGCACACCTAATAAGCTAAATCAAACTAAAACCTAAGTAGGAGATGAAAGACATCGACATGATATTTTGTTTTTTTTCTTAGAGTTGCTCTAACTTATTAGAGCACCACTTGGTGACATAGGAGCGCTTGTAGAGATGCTATGTGGCGGATTATAAGCGTTTTTAGGAAGTTTAATGGACTTTTAGTAATAATATATAAATAAAGATAACTCACAATACATGAAAATACATTCATGATAAATTTAGTAATATTATTTCGATATATTAATATTTTTTATAGTAGGGAGTGAGTAATTTTGATCGAGAAATGTTACTCATAACTGGAGTTGTTTTATTTTTGAAAATGCAAGTCTAATTTTATTATACAACATACAATTATATAATGCATTTTATTCATTTATTTAGATTTTTTATGGATGTTTCGATGATGTGCGTATTGTAGAATACAACTCGAAATAACATATATTTTTACAACTATTGGGTGAAATTATTAATTTGGTTTTTATCTTATGAGAGTGAAAAAAAAAGAAAAAAGAAAAGAAGGGAAGGGGGGCACGTACGAAGTATGTACGTGAACGCATGTACACGTACGGGATGGATCAACATAGAACGTGGCGCTTTCTAATTTTTTATGTTGGATCTAAGGATTAAAAAATATGGGTCCACCATATTAAATGAAAATCAATGGTCAGATATATTTTGTTTTTTCTTGAAATTAAACTTTCTACAAACGCTCTCATGCCGCCACATGGCGTTCTGAAAACGCTCTCAAGCTGACATGTGGCGTTAATAAAATCCATCCCTTAATTTTTATTTAACTCGGTGGGCCCTATATTCCAAGCCGTTGATTTGGTTGAGATTAAAACAAACCAGCGAGCTGTGCGTGAACCAAGCGCCTCTGGAACCGCTATGACCTG